TGCTCATTCCTGGAAGATGTACAACTTTAGCAGGTAGAATTAATATGAAGCACAAACTATGTATCTATGTATATGTATGTGTGTGTTTGTTTGGCTGAACATTTATGAACTGTAAATAAATCATTTATTATTATTTTTAAAATATTTTAAATTGGGAAAGGATGTTGGTGTTGAAAGGGTAAATTCTGGGTTGGTTTATTTTATGTTATTGAAAAGCTTTTCGAAAAATTAATTAATTGGTTACAGGCAATTAATTAATTTGCAGCAGCACAATGAATCACACAAGATTGTCGTTTTTAAATTTTAAAACCACAATCGTTTAGTATGCAGGCACGTGCACACATGCACATACCAACCTACTCATTCGCACACACACATATGCACACAAACACACACACATGCACACAAACACACACACATGCAACTAAGACTGTAGCTTCACTTCCTTAATTCAATGTTTAAAGACTAGAAAACAATGTTTAAAGGAAATTAACCCTCATTTGAATAAGGTCGATGGTGGGTTGTTATGATGACAAAAGTTAATCTATCATCATTTAAAATTCGTTCCCTACTTTTTTGATTACTAAGCTGTTTTTAATCGTTCGATCGTTCGTTCAACTTATCTGGCGAAAAAGTAGTTTTCAATCTATCAACGATAGCAATTTTGTCGAACTGAACGAGGTTTCCATCGAAATAAATTTAAAATTATCAAACATTTCCAATTGAGGAAATAGATTTCTGCTAAATTAGAATATTGATAGAAGTTAAATTTGAAAGAAAACAGATCACATCAGGATAAAATGCAATGTGCCAAAATATTAAAATAATACTATCAATGACATTGAATGAATTGTTGAAAGATTGAAGGATGAATTGTAAGGGATGTGAATTGTGATGGGTGGATTAATTAATGAATTATTCATAAATAGTTGAATGGTGGATAGTAAATATTAAATGGTGACTTTAAACAATAATGAATATTAAATGGTGATTTTAAACAATAATGATTGAAATGATTTGAAGAAAGAGCAATATAAAATTATTTACCAAATAACAATATTTTCAAATCAGTTTAAGACCAATTACACAAAAAAAAAAGAAATTTTGTTCAGTTAAAATAAAAACTTGAAAAAAATTCGCTGGTGGTTCTGTTAAATTGCTGCCTGTTGTTTGGCGGCTATTTAAAAACCACATTACTCATGTTGCTAAATATAAATAAATGTTGGAAAAATTCATGAAATTTTTCTTCTTTCTCATTATTCAACCATTATTTTATTTCAATATGTTAAAAATGAGTGAATTTCAGACTCAGCCAATCAGAATATTTCACGTTGAATAAAATTTTTTAAAGAAATTTTCATCGGATGTGAGTAGCATTGTAAATGTGTTAATAATTAAGAACAGGTTTCAGATTCGAGAAGAACATTCAAAACGTTTTGTAAGCATAATTTTTGAAAAGATAACGTAACGTAACGTAAATGACTGAACTAAATTTGATTAATCCATTAAGAATAATGGATTTTTAGTTAATATAATAATAATTGAATTTCGATTAATAATTAATTAAGAATAATAAGTTCAGTTGCACACCTACATACCTAGGACACTAAAACGAACTACCCATGCGTTTATATCTAGAAACGACATCCTCTTGCACGTATGCGATCCTTTTCTGTTTGTATATTTTTATAGTTTATATGCAAGTCTCAATTAATTTTAAAACACGTCAGCAACAATAAGCATCACATACACGCGTATGAAAGTTGTAGACCACTTGGCACTTTAACCAGGTGATTGTAACACGCAGCTGACCGTTACATTTTGGTCACCTAACCGTGAAAATTTTGTCTCCCTCCCGTGAAAATTTAAACTTTCTCCAAGTTCTGGGCCACACCTCTCAATGTCTAGATCCCCCACTGCATCTACACGTATATTAATGTGCTTAGTACATCTTATTTAGACACTTATACATACATATATATATATATATATATACATATATATATATACATACATACATACATCATAGAAAAAGAAGGAAAAAAAGAGAAAGAGAGAGAGAGAAAAGAAAAAAGTAAGAGAGAAAGAGAGAGAGAAATTATAAACGCCCCATAGGCTGTGCATGTAATCTTTTTTTTATTTGTATTATCAACGCTTCGAAATGTGTGTATATATATTTTCCCCGAGATTGGGGGTTGCCGTTTGGCTACCTATGATGAAACCGAAATACCCCTCGACGCCATCCACATCTGTCACTCGCCTCAGTATCACGCAACCCCGCTTTCACCCTGTCCTTCTCCACCTGCTCTCTCCATCCCAATCGCGGACGACCCCTTCCTACCACTCCTTCAACCTCGAACTCCAACGCTCGCCTAATCCCGACCCTTTCATCCCTTCTCAACACATGTCCATACCACCGCAATCTCGATCTCCTTATCAATGTCACAATGTCCTCATTCAGTCCCATCATCGACATCAGCTCTGTACTACTCATCCTATCCTTCACTTTAACCCCACACATCATCCTCACCATAGCTCTTTCAGCCCTCTGCAGTACACTTTCTTCCTCTCTCTTCAACACCCAAGTTTCACCACCATATACCATCGCTGCTCTCACACATGCTTTATATACCCTCCCTTTCATCTTCACTGACCATTTCTTTCCACACAATACCCCACCCAGTTCCCTAAATTTCATCTACCCCACACGAACTCTAGCCGTAACTGCGCTCAAACATCCTCCATCCGCGTTCAGCTTATCCCCTAAGTAAACAAAGCTTTCCACTCTTTCAATACCACCACTCAACCCCGTCCTTGCGTCCGTCCTATTAATCACACCATGAACACATTTCTTACATTTGAACGTGCCTTCCACCTTTTTCAGTGCCCCCCTCACACCACTACATCTCTTATGCACCCATAATATATATATATATATATATATATATATATATATATCATCATTTTATTCATATGCATAGTTTTTTTCTAAGATTATTAATCTCATTCATTAAACCTGTGTTAATGAATTTATGGTGGTAATAAAATGCAACTTAAATTTTATAAAATTAAAATAAGCAGCTCACCTGTGAACTTTGATTGATAAAATAATTTTTGATATCATCATGGTGTAGCGAAGGCTAGAGAGATTTTACAGTATGTTACAGTAGGTAAATAATAAATTAAACACAAGCCGTTCTATAAAAAAATTATAATTTGTGAATTTTTTAATATTTAAAAAGAAGATAGATAGAAAGGGAAAGAAAAGTGCTAATGAGTGGAAGGGGAAAGGGAAAGAAAGAGAGAGGGAAAGAGAGAGAGAGAGAGAGAGAGAGAAAGGTGTTGCGATGTTTTTATGGTCGTTATGCTATCTCTATCACAGTAAAAGAGTGAAAGAGAGAGAGAGAGAGAGAGAGAGAGAGAGAGGGAGGGAGAGGAAAAAGCGTGGAGAGTGCCTAATCAATAACAGCAACAAAGGTAAAACTCTGACATAGACAGAGAGAAAAAAAGAGAGTAAGCAAGTAAGGTACAGGTGTGGCGGTGTGTCATCATCTATCTACGTTATCATCATTTTATTCATCTTAGTCATAACCGCCAACAGTTTCATCATAATTCTCCGAGTATCATCATCATTATTTACATCTAAATATATAGCCATTTTAAATATTCAGTATAAAGATCGTTATCACCATAACCATCTGAAATTTAAACATAAAAATCAACATTAGTTTCCAGCCTGTCAATATGGCATCACCATCTTAGTCATATAGATGTTTATAGTAATCGTCGTCGTCCATTTGTTGTTAAACACGGAACCAGCCAATCATTATTTCTATTATTGTTTGTTTTTCTTGTTGTTAACGATATGGAGATATATTTATAAACACTTACAAATGCCCAAACACACATAAACGAAACGAAACGAAATTTTATTTAGCCTGAACCTAAAAAAAACAAACAAACAAACACACACACACACACACACACACACACATATATATATATATATATATAATATATATGTACACTTACACACATACATGTATTTGCGTTTATACACGTACGTACATATGTACACCTTACACAGGCACATAACATTTTACGTTGTAGAGTCCCGGGTCAATTAGATACGATGAACTATTTTCTTGTTTCACAAAATTATACAATTTACAATCAATATGAGTCTATTGAAACAAAATTTTATTTAATTTGCTGATATATGTGCAATTATGGATAGCATAGATGATAATATTTTTTATTCAAAGACCCAGGTTGTACTTCTCAGATTCTTGATTTTGAAAAAAATCTAAAAATACACCCGGCATAATCTGTATATCTGTATTAGCACTAAAACTATTTTCAATTGTAGGACGTTGTGTATGTTTGAATAATGGCTTCCTACATAAGAACTAACTAACTAACTGGAGTTGCTCTTGGTTATCCGAAAAAAAAACAAATGAACGTTCGCCAACAAACTACATATTTTAGCTTTCACAATAACTTCCTCGTTGTTTGTTTGGAATCGGTGGTGAATATGTTTTACAAAAATACATCACTCAGACGTTCCATATTAATCAAATTTGTAATCCGTATTAATTTGTTTCAAGCAATACGACAACTGATAATTGACTAATTTACCTAATTTTCATTTTCATGAATCACGACAGTAAACTTTATTTTCGTACATGGAACGCAAAAGATATACTTACTAATCATTAATAAATAATAATTTGTAAATTTAAACGAATAATCTCAATTCCTCGATTGAATGCAGATGATGTCCTTTGTCGTGTATATATGCAAAATGAACTGAAGGATGCAGAGAAAATCATCGGCACTCTTGGTAAGGAGGTTAGACTGAAATGTGATCTTCCAATGTCTCAACCACCGAACATTTTATGGGAAAGCAATTCATTTTCGGTCGATCCAAATCACGTACTACTATTCAACTCGACGGGGGATGTTCCAGATAAATACGAAGAATATCTTTATGTGAATGAAACGACTTTTGAAATGGTACTATTTGAAAAAGAGAAGTATACAGCAGAACAAAGTTTCATTTGCACTAGCATAGTTGATGGCCAGGAGTATCAAAAGCTTTATTACCTGATTATAATTAAAGGTGGTTAGAAATTTAATATTTAAAATTCTACGCATTTTCCGGTCCACAACATTTTATTTCAATATTAAAATTTGTAATGAAATTAATTACATTTGTGACAGAAATGAAGTGTAATGGCAAAACAAGATTTCATGAAGGAGATAAGGCTGAACTTGAATGTTCGATAGATGCTATATATTTTCCTGATATTATCTTTAATTACAAAGGACATGTTTCTAAACAATGGTTTCAGATATCTTCAATTGGAAAAAATTTAACATTCAATGTTGATTATTCCGACGACAAAGCTCGGATTGTCTGTTCCATAGTACCAAAAGGACCACAGTGCCATTTTGATCTTCAAGTTTTATGTTAATAAACCTGAAATTTCAATCTAATATTAAAATTTGTCATACAAATTTCTAAGCGAACGAAAACATTTTTTCATTAATTTTTATATTCAGTCAACCGCTCAAAAATACGATAAAAATTTTATTTATCTAATGAAATATTTTAAGACGAAATGATGGACTTTGAAACGCCAGAAAACAAGTCACTGGAAGCTGGCGAGCCAATCGAATGCAAAGCTTCAGGCAACCCGAGTCCGACAGTAAGAATGTCCGTGAAACGTACTCCAACCGATGATGACTGGGTCTTCTTTAACAGTTCTACGAGTGGCAGTGCCGTTGTTTATTTAAACGAAAGTTACAACGGTGACTCGTCAGAGTTGAAATGCAGATTCGAAAGTGCATTGACTAATAAAATAATTGAGAAAATTGTCAAATTGAACATTGTAGGTGAGTATGGTAAGTGGGTGATAAGTTTAAGAAATGATATCATCTTAATTATATATTTCCCTATAATCACTGTAACTTTTTACATAATTACAGGATCCAAAGGAATTTTAGGAAGTGAGTTAATGATCGATGGGATGTTTACTTCATTTTAGCCTAATGGTTAAAATGATTTAGTTGGAAGAAAATATTATAAAATAAATTCACTGTGTAGAAGTAATTGGCATTTTTTTCAGACGTTGCCTCAAAGTTGCAAGAGAACAACTACTTGTTACTGATCGTTATAATTGTGATAGCACTGGTTGTACTGCTTATCGTAATTGCAATAATCATCTACAAGCGAAAGAAAAATAGCCAGAAAAAGAATGTGAAAGGTTGGAGCGTTATTTTACTTCAAATTCAAGAAAATTGTTGAATTTTTTTTAACATTTAATTCAGTAAATGAAATATATTTGAAATAATTGTAAAATTATTATTTTTCAGCCGAGGTAGCTCTCCTGAAATCTGAGTAAGTTTACCTTTTTAATAATTTTTTCTTTTTATTTCTAATTATGATTCTCAAAAAGTGTTATTAATTTATTTACTTTAAAATTAATACAATACTTTTTATACCGTCGAGTTTGTTATCTATAAGCACCTAAAAAAATTACATACGCCGCAATCTGGCACAATCAAATTTTCATCGGTTAAAAAAATTGAGGTATGAAGTTTGCATGATATATAAAATTTTTTTAATAGTTTTTATATTAGAATAGAAGGTGAATTGGAAGTGAATGTTATTTTTTAAAAGAATCATTAGTGTATTAAATAAGTTTAGTTTTTACTTATTTGTTATATTTACTTTTTAGACCAAGAAAAGATTACAAAAATGAGTCTGGTTAGTTTTGTTTGATGTAATATTTCAATGCTGGTCGAACGTTTATCGCAAAATTTTATTATGCATGATACATATGCGCGCACATGTATATTTATGAATGCGTTTGTACACTCACACAAATTTTTTCAGTTTGAAATGATCTTATTGGGGAGATAGAAGATCGTGACAAAGTTGGAAGAAAAATAAAAAACTATGAAAAATATTTTTTAATGTATTTCATTTATTTATGTTAATTTAATTCTTTCTTATCGTTTCAAAACAGCATACATACCATACTACATGAATCTGAATGCTTAAAATAATACAATATGATTAATTACAATAGACTAAACATCGTGTGTCGTGTCGTTATTTCATATTTTTTATGACTCGTATCATTCATAACTCTTGTACATTATAATGCATTGATAAGTATGTTGCCGTCGTAACCTACATCATTTTGTCTTGATAATAACAACACAACACTGATCAAATTGCACATTTATGACATCATCATATCTCAACTTTAATAGTTCAATCTCAAAATACAATAAAAACCATTGTTAGTTGACACATAACTTTGTCCTATCATTTTGTTGTAAAATTAATTAGGTGAAAACATTGAAATATATATATATATATTTTTTAATATTAAAATGGCTACGCTTTTCATTAAATTTGAAAATTAATGCTTAAAATAATTTTATTAATAAAGTTTGTTGCTTCTCTATTGCCTTAATTCATAATATTAGACATAAATAAGTTTTGTGTGTATAACTTGGTGGAAATAATTTTTCTGAAATCTGGAATGCAATGTAAATATTGTTCACAACGATCTTGTACCACATAATTTGCTTGTTTTAAGGTAGAACCAGTTTGAGACGATTGAAATTCTCGTTTAAATTTTGCGTACGATTAAATAATGTTCAACTTTTATAGACCTGATTAAAGCTGTATTTTGTTAAAAAAGCTTTCAATATTTCTATTTCCCGAAAGTAGTTAAACTCTGTTTCGATGTATTGAATCCATGTGAACCTTTTTTATCTGAATCGAATTTACATGCGTCCAAATTACTCTATCATTGAAATTATTATTATAATTAACCAATTATTATTATTAATTTTAAACATTGATAAAATTCTTAACAAGTGCTGTGGGTGATTATGTTTGATATGTAATAAAAATGTTTAAAAAGCCAGATCTGAATTCATATTTTAAATTCATTTCCAGACAAAAAAACGGATTATCAAATTATTTTCATATGTATAAAAAATATAAAGTGCCCCAATACGAAATTCACCTGAACATTTTTATTAAATTAAACGATTACTCAAATAAATATCTTCTGATTGAATAGATGTCACATAACCATTGCACTAATTAAAATCTAACATACCTTAAACCATCACCAAGAACAATAAAAATGATAAAATAGATCCCTGCAACCACAAAAATTCAATGAGACTGAACAAAGAAGATGTTAGCAAAAATATGGCAGACATTTTATAAAATTTAGCTGTTGAATGATGAAATATATAAAATATAAGAGAATTATTAAGAGAATTTAAAAGTACTGTTGTCGGTGTCTGTTTTTGTTGATGCCTGTTCGTCCTCAGCAGAGGCAGGATGTTGCTGATTAGTGACGTCATTTTCTTGCGTTAGGTCCGTACTTCCAATAAGCACCTCCCTCTCCACTATTAATTTGTTGCATAGAGGGACAAAGAAATCTGAGTTTAAAATTTCAATATTATAATAATTCATCTCTTTGAACTGCTGTTGCAAATATGATTAATGCATTGGTTTTGATGGGTTATACAATAAACAAACTTAAAAAATGCGGATTAATTCATATTTAGAGACATGATCTGAAAAATTATTCAAACATGCAGACACAAAAACATGGTATTACTCGAAAAATTTGTATACCATCAAAAAATATCAAGAACAATTTTCAACAAACCATAAGAATCAGAAGAAATTTTATATACATCAGGAATGTATCCAAAATCACCATCTATCATCTTTACTGTCGTTTTGCCATCATTTAATTCAGCTTCAAAAGCAATTAACTGCTGAAAAAAATTGCTGTTAGGTCGAATTAAAGGTCTGCATTTTTTCAAATGGTTGTAGGCATCTAACAGAGTCATGTGCTGATGTTTCAGTAAGTATGCCAGACAAATTGTTGCTGATCTACTTACTCCAGCAATGCAGTGCACTAATACATTGCCACCTGTATCCTGATTGGAAGATTGTTAGGATCAAAATTTATTTCCATGATTTCTTGATTCCATGATTTCTTTTAATTTAATTAGAAATTAGTGTTGAATGCTTATCTAATTTATATACAAACAATCCAAAAAGTAGATTTAAGTTTTAATGAAATTTGTGATAAATGAAAGAGTTTGTTATACAAACAATTGTTGCTTTTATCTCATCAGTACACTGGTGGAAGAGAGTTTTGATATTCGTAGACATGTCATCATCAATCTCGAATTTTAGCACCTTGACTCCGTCAAACTCAAATGTTGGAGTGTCTCTGGTCAAACTGATGATCAATTTTATGTTTTTCTTTTCTATATTTGGCCTTGTTACACTAAAAATATTGGAAATGTAGAGATGGTCTAAAACAATGCAGAATCCACAATCATTCATCTTCCTTCCCAGGGCATTTTTCACTTTTGTCCAGTCTGATTGCTGCTTATTGGAAATAATTAACTATTAATAAAATATGTCTAAATGTTTGAGTAAGCTGCCTTACTTAATTTAACAAAGCTTTCAATAAATCTTTAAATTTTGAAACTTATATCTTTCATTTGGATATAATTTATAAATAAATATAAATTGCTTATTTCTGCACTTACAGTTAAGCTCCAGAAATGTATTGTGAAATGCTTTACTTAAAAATTTTGATTGAAACATGCATGATGGTGCCTTTTTCAAAAAGATATTTTAATTATACCATTCCATTTGCTTACAAATTCACTAGCACATTTTTAAAAATAAAAAAAAACTCATCATCATGTATATCTATATAATATGAACTAAACTTAACATAATAAATTAATTTAATAATAATAGTATAGTATCTTAAGATGCAGATGAAAGAAACAGTTGTTAGAAAAAGAAATAAAATCAAATAATGATTTTTAAAGAATTAAAAGAAAAAAATGTAAAATATAAATGAAAAAGGAAAAATAATATCATGCCTTTTCTTCTTTTTCGTTTTCATTATTTTTGTTGCTCCTGTTATTCATTTTTAATTTAATTAAAGGTTGTCAATTTAACTTCTAATCATAATTAAAACTTTAGTTTAATTTAATTTTTAATACCTAGAATTTAAGATTAAACTTTAATTTTATTCTTTGTAGATATAACTATAATTATAATATATATTGTTTATTTTATCTTTCTATTAATTAATAATGGTCTAATACTGTGTAACTGTAATAATGTAATTCTATTCTAATTAATATTTAATCAATTAATTAATAATAATAATAATAATGCTTTTTCAAACAAATTTTTTGTCAGTTTCCGGAGATTTAAAAAAAACAAGAAGAGAGTATCTGACCAGAATCAGATAAAAATAGAATAGGCAGTTATGGACAATAATATTAAAACTTATTGTTTAGTTTAATGCTATTTAATTTTTATTATTAATACTTAGGCCTCTTAGGGAATTATTAATATGATCAATAGAAAATTATGATGAATGTTTTTAAAAACCAAAATTGTCAATTAACAAAAAATTGTAAATTTTTACTCTAATTATTAATTTCACACAACGACGCAAACGTCACTAAAAACTCAATTAATTAAATTAGATTATTTATTAAATTTAAATAAAATTAAATAAAAAAATTAAACGAAAGCTAAGCTGGCACCGTTCTTTTTTTTTATCTGCGTAATGAATGTATTATAACCTGTCTCTGAAACTTGCCACTTTTATTTTCTATAAGTAAAAGATTTTAGTAACTTTTTTTATAATATTAAATGTACAACTAATATGCTAATTAAATTTAATGTATTTTAATGAATTTTATTGAATGAAATATGCATAATAACTCCAATCGGAATCGCCATTTAGTATGTTTTGGTCTGTAATCTAGTGGTCATGGCTACATTTTTGCTTACTGTGATTTTTAGGTGATAAATTTTAGAAACAATTAACTAATTGAACTTTTACTTTACTCACCCAAGAAAATCATACTCTTCTAAAATGCTCTCATCAAAATGTACGCAATGTTCGTGGTACCACTTTGATAATCTTATATCCGGAAACCACAATCTCTTATCTTCCTCAACCAAAATAGCCTCCAACAATCGCATGCAAGCAGACGAGCAAGCCTTGTGCTCGAATTCAGGACCAGCTTGAGCCTGTCGGAGAAGGGTCTTCTTATCAACCGTGCTGAATGGCAACTCGCCGATCACCTGTTTACACATTTAATTGAAATATTTGACATTTTTGTAATAAAAAATATTTGTTTTTAAAAATAGAAGTTTTTGATAATTGTTTAATTTATCGAGAATTTATTATTATATTCACTTACAAAAACGTAGAGAATAACTCCGATACTCCAAATATCAGCCATTTGACTTACGTAAGGAGTGCCTTAGGAAACCAGCATCAATTATTTTAACAGATGAAAATTTTAAAACATAAAGGTATTATCGTAGATACCTGTCAAAACCTCTGGACAAGCATAAGCATAGCTGCCACAATAAGTTTCACTCAACTTGTACGCCCCGTTTATAGGCAGCATGTTGGATCTTGCGAATCCAAAGTCAATAACCTCAAAAAATTTTTTCTCGGTTTAAATTAGGATTTTTTTAGGTACTCAATTAATGGACTAATCGTATAGTTTTCAATTTTATACAATATAATAATATTTCTTGACTTTTTTGGAGAATATTAAAATCTTTACCTTGACGTGGAATTGAGCGTCAACGAGTAAATTTTCACATTTTAAGTCTCTGTGAACGACCCCAACAGAGTGCATATAATCTATGGCGTCTATTAACTGGCGGAACCAAATTCCAGAGGCAGGTTCAGTTATTTTCTTGGCTTTCCTCACGATATCCAGCATACAACCTCGAGCACAGAATTCCATCACCACATAGACACGCGTATTCGTCTCGATAGTTTGCAGGAAGCTTATGAGGTAGGGGTGTCGAAGCTTTACAGTAAGAGGAGTAGAATGAATGAGTGCTATCAGTAAAATTTGAACAAAGTGACCAAGATAAAATCATCTAAAATTACCTTTTTAACTATATCAATTTCTCTCGGTAAAAATTTATCAACAAAATCCGACTTTCCGACGCCCTTCGAAATGACTTTGATTGCAACTTTTGCATTATGACGTGCGGAATTTGCGAGAACGACTTTGGCGTATGAACCGCTTCCAACAACTTTGATGGGCTCGTAATGAAACTGATCTTGCAGGATGGGCTTGATGTCGTTAATGAAATCTTCCTCTTTATTGTTACTTTGACGATGTTTGTGCGAGCCTTTGTGCTTCTTGCTGCAGATTTTTTAAGAAAAATAATTTGCTTGAAAAACTTAATTTTACTATATTTTATTTCGTTGTAAATTCTTAAAAATTGATGCTCACCTGGAATGTTTTGCTGCGTGCTTGCTCATCTCTAGGCCGTCATCAGATCACTTGGAAACAAATTTCAAAAACGAGATCAAATGAGATGAAATTCAGTAAAAAAAAAGTTTAGCAAATTGAACATCTTAACTTCTTAGTATTTATTCCCATAAATCTGCAACAACGTTGAAAGTTAAGTGTACGCGTGTGTATGATAAGTGCGCCCGTACGTTGTATGCCTGTGTGACATTTTAAAGTTTCTGTAGGACAATTACAGTTTTCCTAAAGATTAGAACAAAACCTAAGCTCTACCAGTCTTTTTAGTATTTTGAAGTTTTGTAGTTTTCTATTTTAAATTGCCGCTGTTAAATGTAATTTTAAAAGTTTTCAAGTAAAAAAAGCTATGTAATTTTGTAATACAAAGAGTGTTGTAAGTTATTGCTTCATTTTGTAATATTTCTTCATTTATTGATTCATTTATTCATTACAATGAAACTCCATTGAAGTTTTATTATACGTATTGTAATTATTTTATAATTATATAAAATTTCAAACCACAATTACTCGGTTAGAGATGAAATTTTCATAACGTTGCAGCGATAGATGGGCTTGGCACTGCGAATCAAATTCATTGTTTCATGTCTAATGCTACTTGTCATGTTAACTTATTTCCTAAATGTGCTATGGTTTTTAGAAAATTTGTTCAATTTTATTTTTACTATTTTTTTGTGTTTTTATTTTTTTTAGATGTTTATCTTTGAATTTACATTTTGTTATTGCGTTAAATTAGTTCGATGTTTTCTTTTTTAATTAAACGGATGAAAAACGTTGAAAATCTGCGACAAAATATCAATTGGTAGTTTAAGTCGCGACTGATATGTGAAAATATGATTTGTCGGAACGTGTAGCTGTTTGAACCTTGACACATTTGTAAACAAAGTTGGACCGCGCCTGGATTAGGAAGATTTGCGCTAACATTGTGTGACACAAACTTTTAGTTGGTTATTGAAAGTATGACAATTGGCTTTCTGTAAAACACCATGATGTTCGTAAAAAAAATTGTAAACTAAAATAGGTTACGGTGTATATTTAGAATTTTTAAACATTTTAACATTTTACAAATTGATATTATGTGTTAATATATGCATCTTTTTTGTTTTGTTTTTTTTGTTATAAATATTTAATGGGCATGTTTTAGGCACATTTATGTTTTAGTTGTAAAGTAATAAAAACTGTAAAGAAAAAGATGTTGTTCAAAAAATTAAAAACATGTAAAATATTATTTTTGTTTTATATCGTTGTTAAGTTTATTGCCCATAAAAATCTTCTGAGCCGCCCAATCATTCATTTCTCCCGCTCTATTTTTTCCTGTCAACAAATCAATTTAAAAAATTTAAATAACAATGTTTTGTTTGTTTAGTTCTTAAAATATATTATCATCGTACGGAATTTATATAGATTACAGTTTGTATTTAATTTGGCTAATTTTCAATTAATTTAAATTAAAAAAACCCTTGCTACCATCAACAGAGCAACACAACGACTCCGAAGCAAACATGTTCCAATTGATCGAATAATGTTTGCATAGATAAGCTCAACTATTTTTTATTCATTTGATAAAATCTTATTTTTCATTAATTACATAAATTAATTGGTTGTTAATGTTTTGTTGGGTACAGTTTAAAGGAAAGCACGCCTATTTATAACTAGAAAATTGAAGAAACTGACGTGTAAGGGTCGTATTCCATAAGAATGGATTCGTCATAATTGACGCAGTGTTCGTTGTACCACCTCGCTGTCTTTATATCTGGAAACCACAATCTTCTATCCTCGTCAACCAGGATGGCTTCCAAGAGTCTCATGCATGGTGTTGAGCAGGTCCCGGGTTCGAATTCAGGCCCTTCGTGCGTTTGCCGTATCAGAGTTTTCTTGTCTTCCGTACTGAATGGCAATTCGCCCACAATCTGGTTAAATAATTCGAAAGTTTATTAGGCAAATCAAAAACAAAATTTGGAGGAAATGAAAATAAAAGAAATTGTTAGAACACTTTCAATTGAAGAATTAATTTTTTTTTCTACTGACAATGTTTTTTTTTTATTTTACAAGAGCGAGTACTTCCAAAAGTCTTACGAATACATAAAGAATGACTCCGATACTCCATATGTCCGCCATTTGACTTACGTACGGGGTACCTGAAGAGAAATAATTACAGAAACTGTGAGCATATAACTTCCTATTTTTATACAAATTACAAATCATCTTTGATGTAATTTATTAATGTAATTATATTCATTTCCAATGATTAGAACCGGTTAGAATTTCAGGACAAGCGTAAGCGTAACTGCCGCAGAATGTTTCACTGAGTTTGTACGCTCCGTTCATTGGAAGCATATTCGTTCTCGCGAAACCAAAGTCAATAATCTTCAAATTTGAATTTTAATTATCAAATAAATGTACAATGAAAGTAAAACAACGCACTCCAAACAATCCCAGTAAAAATTATTTGTTATGTTGTAAATTTTTGATAATGGGCTAAAAAAAACTTGAAAACATCTTAATTTAAAACATAACCACGAAATTCACCAATCGCAAATTGAAATATAAAGACCTTGATAGCAAATTGTGAGTCGATAAGAAGATTTTCGCATTTCAAATCTCTGTGCACCACGCCAACAGAGTGCATGTACTCTACGGCATCTGTGATCTGCCTGAACCATATACCCGAAGCTGGCTCGGTTAACCTTTTAACCTTCCTGATGAGGTCCAACATGCACCCTCTCGAACAAAACTCCATCACCAAGTAGACCCTCGTGTTCGTTTCGATCGTCTGCAGGAAACTAATCAAGTAAGGATGCCGTAGCTACACGTTTAGAAAAAAAATTAAGTGCTTTAAAATTTTAATTTGCTCGGTGTCATTTTTATAAACTATGAATATAAAAATCGATTTTTCAGCTCAATTTCAAAATTTGTTCACGAATTTTTTTAAAAGAGTTGTCAGTTTGAAAAGTCTCACTTTTTTAACAATTTCAATTTCTCTCGGCAGAAATTTATCAACAAAATCTGGTTTGCCAGATGTTTTTGAGATGACTTTGATGGCGACTTTGTTGTTGTGGCGCGGCGAATTCGCCAGGACGACTTTGGCATAGGCTCCATGGCCGACGACTCTGACAGGTTCGTAGTTGAACTGGTCCCTCAAGATGGGCTTGATGTCGTTCAGAAAGTTTTCCTCCTGTTTGGCGTGGGCTGCTGTCTGAGGCTTCGATGCCGGAGAGAGTCCCGGAGCATCCTTCTTCTTTTTGCTGGAATGTTCGTTGCAATAATTCACTCGTCACTACTCCAAACAATCAACCAATTGATTCATTGGACAATAAATCAATTAGACGATATTTTGTTACAAGCGCACCTGTTAAAAGATATATCACTTCATCATAAAAACAAACAAGCGAACCTGGTTTGTGGTTTGACTGCGTGCTTGCTCATTTTTGGACCGTCATCTGCTTACGGTGGGGGAAAAGTTGGAAGAAGAGGAGAGAGGAGAGAAAAATTCTCTGAAAATTCAAAGAAACAAACGAATTAAATTTTCTGTTAAGTTATTGCGCACTTTTGAATGTTCCGTTCTAAAAGGTAAAACAAATAACCGAAAAGTAGATAATCTAACAAAACTGCATTTTCTCAACATTTTTACATTCAGGCAATAATTATCGATACATCCTACAATAAAAATCTCATTACTAAATCAACGAAAACTCGTCAGTCAAAATTATCTATTATTTTTTTAATATTTTTTAATAAATATCTAAATTAATTATTAATAAATATAATTTGATGGAACTAATGGAACAATATGCGTAATCTATATTATCACAATGATTATTATTATAAAATAAATGAAGAACTAGCATACTATTTTATTGAGCGTTACTAGTTCTTTTTGAAATTTTTTGTTCAAACTTCTATACATGGTTCCATATGTAAATTTTTCAATTTTTTTCTATTTCGCTAGTTTTTCAAACTGGTCTTTTAATGTTTTCGATTTTTTTGTTTGTTATTTTTTTGGGAGTATATTTTCTGATTTGTTTTTTGTTAAAGAGTTATTTACGATGTATTTACATGACGTTGTTAACCAAAGAATTTTCAATGAATATAAAATCAGCACATTCATTTGTCTAGTCTTTTTAATGAGCACATTCAGCTTTAAACGGTCTAACGCAAGAGTGGGCAAACTTTTTGCTGTGAGGGCCGCATTGAGAACTATTTTACCTTTGAAGGGCCGCATATGTACTTAAATAGCAAAGTTTTTCGACCTGGGGGAGAATTTTTTAAGGTTTGTGGTTCTTTTGTTTTGGTCATAATGTCTGGCTGACGGGTTGACGACTTTTTTTTGGCGAACAAAGCCAAGCGTGGGCCGCATAAAATAGCTTCACGGGCCGTAGTTTGCTTACCCTTGGTCTAACGCACTCAAACCTACTCAAATATATATATAACTAAAATTAATTATCGATAAAAACAATAAAATTTTCTCTTTAAAGATAATTTTAGAATTCGTTTAAGCGTGCTAAGGTGTTACTAGCAAAGATTACAATGAAGAAAATATGTGTCCGTAGTTGTCAACAAAACAACATATTCATTTGTAATTTATGACACGCTATCAATTGTTTCACTAATTTTTTCACTCGAAAATAAACGTTAAATTGAAAAATTAATCTGACAAATAAGAAATTGGTCTTTACACGACTTTTAAGAAGTTTCTTGAATATAAATTTGCATGCAAGTGCCTAACACATCAAACGCATTGCTAAGATGCACACGCAAACACACAAATATACACACATACACAACACACACACAAATATATATATATATATGTGTGTGTGTATATATATATATATATATATATATATGTATATATATACGTATATATATATATATATATTTATATATATTGTTCAGTAGTTAATTAAATTCACCTTTTCAGTATAAATTCACTTGTTTAGTAAGTACCTCCTCGTATCGATTTTGTTCACAGTTTTTATTTTTTCATCACAAAGTTTATTGTCTGAATAAAATTTTGCTTTTTTCGTTGTAAATATGTTTTTAGTCTAAATATTTGAATAGTGATTGTATTAGTATATGAGTTTAATTGGTCACATTATCATAATTGGCAATTAACGCGATTTAATTTATGTGTATTTGTGTTATAAGAAAGCCTTAAAGTCTCAAATGAGTTTCGAGTGTCAAAGCTGGTCAGCTAAAATATAAAAATTAAACTGTTACAATTTCCATTAACGCCGTCATCATCTTCACATTATATCATTATCATCTTTTAAACGTCATCATTTGCGTCATCATCGTCATCGTAACAACATTAGCACTAGCGACAAATGACAAAAATGCAATCTAAACAATCTCCTTTGCCAACAGCATCAACAACATCTTCAAGGAAGCTAATAACTGAACCTCAAATACATCAAAATAAATTAGCTTTCTTAAATAATAGAAATGAAAAAGGTTCAGCTTCCTTGCATTACAACTCCTTCCCATGTGACTCTGAATATTCAGGACCGGGGCAAAATGACAAGCTTTTTCATATTAGACAACAGCAAAACCAACAACACCACCAACAGCAAAAATCCATCGAACAATTAATAAACGTCCGAAAATTTTGCATGAACAAAAATTACTTACTCAACAATTTTCTTGGCGGCTTTAACAATTTTTTTGGAAAATCTCATTTCTATTTAAATTTACCTTTATGGTTATTAGCAAATCATTTTCAAACAAAACCATTACAAATAAATGAAAAAACAAGACCAAATCTTGTTCAAAGCACTGAAAAATTGCACAAAAGTCACCAAACCCATGTTCATCAGAACCATCAACATCATCCAAAGTTTAAAAACTACCAGTACTTGTTAGTTCAAATTTACTTTCTTACCTTCGTATTCGGCATCAGTCAGATGGCCACAGCAGCAGCAGTAGCAAGACAGTCTCGTACGAATCTGCACCGCCAACACGCCTACCACCTCCGTCGGCAGCACAAAGCGGACTGGTTGAAGGTTGAGAGTCCACGCTGGCAGGAACCATGCCGCGGAGGAAGCAAAGATCGTTTCTGGAACTTCGACGCACAGCCCTTCAGCAACTTGAACAACAAGAACCTTTTCAACTTCGATAACTGGCACAGAGATCTCCAGAACGCTGGCATAACGATCGGCTACAACAATGACTCCGATAATAAAAATTCTAGTTACATAGAAGAAGATGGCGACGTTGCTGTTTATGATAATTATAACAGCAGAAACCGTCATGATGATGATGATCGTTGTTCCAAGTGCAAACCAAATAATTCTGTTGATGTTGCACAAATTGAAGGTCATCGCAGCAGTTTGAAGAGGAACCGGGACCGCGTTCGAAGAAATAAATTTTTCAAACTCAACACTGGAAAATTGAAATCTCGACTCAACTCCGTTGCGAAAATGACATCGCATCTAGTGGTGAAGGTAAAGGAGCTCAAAAAAGTTTATGTAAGTAAAATTTCCTCTGATAGTTTTGATATTTTTTTCATTTTTTTATCGTTCAAGTCTTGTCAAGGCAAGGTGTAACAATTAGCTTTTTGTGGCTGAGAATCATTTTTCGTTCCATTTTATGTTTCTTAAACATTAAAGTAGTGTGCTGTTTATTTGTGTGAATTTATTAGAAGCACTTATATCGATCTAATGAGTTTTTAATTGAAACATTTTGACAGAAATTTTTTTTCTGCCAATAAGCACCACACGCTCTTCTTTTGGAAAATGTAAAAATTTATTGACTTGTACAAAAGTTCAAGCACCGTTGCAACTGCAAAAAATTGTTGCTTTGTTTCTTGGCTTTGTTACAAATAACTAATTTTCAACAGAAATCATCGAGTAATGACATCTTGAAACTATTAAAAGGGGTTATAAATATTCTGAACAAATATAAATAGGTGATGAGATGGTGTAATAGTTGGTTCCGGATAGTTGCAGTGATTGAATTCAAATGCAAAAAACCACGCGTTAATATTCGCTCCATATCACGCTGATACCCCAGTTATCACATTAAAGAGTAACTATCTGACACACAAATTAATAAATCAACAAAATATAATAAAAACAAAAATACATTGTATTGTACGTAACGCTTTTTTCTTCTAATGATATACAAAATGTCTTGCTCCTTACATCACAAAAAATGTTAACTCTATTCTTTATAAAATACACTTTTTTCGCAGAGTTAATTCTTAAATCATTTCATACGAGAAAGAATGCGTCAAATATATTAGAAGATGGTTTAAGAGTATAACTGGGTTTTTTTTTTAAATCTGTATCGATTTCAGTGTGAATATAAAGAACTTCAAACTTTTCGTTTCATATTTAACTGATCTACATGCATCCTTTTTCAAGTTTTACATTTATTTTGTATAAATTCTTTTTTTCTTTTTAACTATAATTATGTTTACTTTGACATTCATCTTTGATTTTATAATTGTCATTACTTGATCTACACGATCGTTCTAGGGTGAGGACAGATTCAATGATTCTTTGATGATCGGTGACCTCGAAATGCAAGTCTTCCAACTTTTTGGCAGACCGAAACTCAAGCAGGTACGTTGAATAATTTTCAGGGGCTGTCCATACAATATGTCAGGTCACTTATTGAAAAGTTACAAAACGCTTTTATTTTTTGTTCGTTTGAAAGGGCTAAATTAAAGATCTCAGTTTTTTCGTTTCTAAAAAAATTATTTTACAACTAAAATGCATTTTAAGATTTTTTAAGCAATATTCCAAGTATAAAATTGCACGTATCTACCCTGATATTTAAATTTCAAATCAAGCATTGTGGTAGGATTGCTAATAAACATAGTATAATTTAACTTGCAACGTTGAAACCGTTAGCAGTTCGGAAATACTTTTTTTTAGAAAAAATTGATAAAATACGAGTTTAAATTGGAAAATGTGCAATGTAAATTTAAATTGGAAGATGCTGTTTTAGCCCTTCACAACATTAAAACTAAGCCGAATAAAAATTGCTTACTTCATTTTCAAATATCCAAACCTTCCCGAAAAAAATATCTGATCACCCCACTGAGGGCATCAGTTAGGGACAGCTCTTTATTGTGATGGATGGTTAATAATTTGAAATTTGACGTATGGATTGGTTACTGAAATTGGAATATTAAAAAACTGATCGGTGTAGAAAAATAAAGTGACTAAATTATTATAATAAAAAAATAAAGATTATAGAAATTAATCATTGACAGTCAGCTAACGCTGAAAAAATTGAAAAAAGCGGCGAAAAATTGAAAATTTTAATATATACATTTTTATCTTATTAACCTCTGATGCTATTTACAGTGAAAGAAATATTTTTTAGTTATATTTAAAGATTTTATTAAATTTTTTAAACACATTCATCCGTTACGGGAATGGTTAGCCTTGTCTCGCTACCAGTGCGTGATAATCTGGTTTGAATACGGTCTGATGGTTTGTACTTTACATCCTTTGTAGCACCAAAGTTCATCTTTAAAAAATCTAATGGTCAAGTATTTTTTGTAAAAATTAGATATCCGAAGAAAGTTATGAATCTAAGACAGAACTTGAAAAATTAATTTCTGTTTGATTTCACAAAAGATTGACAAAGTAGAACAACTAAGTACCAAATAAATTGACATACAAATAGATAGATAGATGGATTGATAGATAATGAATAGATAAGAAATAAATCAATTAAAAGTAAATTAATTGGTTATTGATTGATTTGCTGGTCGCAATCTATGATTGATGCCTGATTAATTGCCGGCAGTAATTATTTCGGTGCGTCGCACACCTCATTAGCATACATCTCAGTTCATTCGCTCGCTAATTTTAATAATTTATTCAACAGACTATTCGAGAAATGATTCGACAAATAAAATAGTAGTGTGCATTTGTCGATGGTGTGACACTCATTCATTCGTTCGTTCGTTCGTTCACTTGTTCATCTGTACACTTGTTTGTTCATTTGTTCGGCTACCCATTCATACATCCTACATTCATTTCATCATTGATTCATCTAGTCAGACTTGAAATTTTAATTTTAGGAATTTATTCAATCGATCTTTTCCACATTGGTACGACCATTCTTTCATTCAGTCGTTCATTCATTCGTTCATTCAATAACTACTTTATTTATTCATTCATTCAGTCAATCGTTTGTTCATTCCATCGTTCGTTCGTTTCTTTCATCGCTTGTACATTCACGGTTTATCCAGTAAGTAAGGTATAATAATTCATTTAACAATTCACGCAATTCATTCATTCATTCGATCGATCATTCGTTCGTTCGTTCTTAAATACATTCATTCAATTCATCTATTCATTTTTTTTTCTTTCGTTCTATCATTTACGCTTCTCTTAACATTCAAAATCATTACTACCATTCAATGATCATAGCTTCCTGTCTTGCGTTCAGTTCACCATTTCTCTAAATTTCCAACAATCAATTTTTCATCAAGAGACAAGAAATTAAGGAATGAGTTCAAACAACTTAAAAACATTGACAAAAAATGTGTGTAATTTTTTAATTTATTCCCTTGATATTATTATAAATATAAACTGAAAAAACAAATGAATGATTTATAAAATATGTACGTACATTTTTGTGTGAGTTATAAGTATTTATATATATACACAAACAAGCTCGTAACACCTTCCTTCCAGGCAACAATAGTTCTTAACAAAACATGCAGGCCTACAGGCATACACACACAGACTTGCACAAATGTCAAAACACACACGCACCCACAAGCGTACTTATGTATAAAGAATACAAGCAAACACAGGCGTACAGCCACATAGACACGCACGGACAAATGTACGTACACACACGCACACAAGTAGCGACAATGTACGCAAGTTAAGTAAGCAGGCAGCATCGCAACCTGTCAAAATAATTAGACGCTGAACCCGACTACACTTTTTAAAGATTTGTCACGGAGATTTCGGAGACGGTTTGTGCTAGATGCACCCGCGATCCCAAGTCATGTGTGTCGAATAGCTGTTCTTTGTGTCATTTCTCTCTCTCTCTCTTTCTCTCCCTTTTATTCTCTTTCTACTTTTCTCTCTATATTTCTTTCCATTTATTTATCTTCAGCGTTAAATTTGTTAAATATTTTCTTCCTTTTCTCTTTCTCCTTTCATCATTTTATGTTCACCTATTCATTTTGTCATTTTTCATTCATTCATAACATAAAAAAATGGCAATAGTTTTACATATTATTATCGGTAAAATTCAGTTTCAGTTAGTTTGTAAAGTACAAAGCTTCATAACTCACTGCTTTGTTTGCCAGCGTGACAATGAAAGTCATATCAGTCACAATAAGTTAACACTGTTCGTAAATTATTTTCCAATACAAATATTTCATTATATTTGGCTAGCACAATTTTATGGTGAAATAAAAAAAAGCAACAATAAGAACAACGAATCAGTAAGAGAGTAATTGAACCTCAAAACCAAAACACCATGGACCAGTTGCAAATCCGCCACTCGAACATGAAATCCATCGTCTCAATGGTGAAGCAGACAACTGAGGACCTAGCCAGAATGTCGGTGTACTGGGACAAAGCCGAGTTCGGGGAGCTCTACAGGGAACCTGGCAAATCGTTCGGAGCACATTTTCGTGAGATTTCATTAAACCCGGAGTGTGGATTGTACCTGGTGTTGTGCAGGCTTCACTGCATTCTAGGGAGCTTCAGGGAGAGGCCTTACTCCAAGAAAGGGATTGCTGAGATCAGAGCCATCAGGTTTCTATTTTCATTTAGAAATTTTATATCTGTTTAGGACACTTTTTAACGATCAGGCGTAGAAATTCGTATCCGATTTTTGTTACAATTTTTATTTAAAAATGTGTATTCATTTAATGTTAATTTATAAAAATTATTAGCTTTTGTTTAAATGGTCGTTATTTCATTTATAGCAACAAAATATATGCCCAGCAAAAACATGGCATCGACTTGATATGTTAACACGAAATCTTCGACAGTCAGAAGGAGGGCATGGTGTCAAGGTCGATTCGTTATTGGCGGGACTTCCTGATCATGAGGGACATGCATAAACTGCTGATCAGAATCAACCAGGACATGCTGACAGCGGTGGACAACATGAAGAAACGTCACAAACCACGTTTCCTTCAACAAACACAATAACTTAATCCATTCAACATACGCATGAACGAAATAAAGGATGGAATAAAGGAAGTTTTGTTTCAGTTTCATTCACCATTGTTTGCTTTATTTTTACTTACGATGTATTGTTTATAATGATTATGTACGCCGAAACGATGTACCGATAATACTAACAGCACCAAACCAAACAACAGCAGTTGAAATGTTTTTGAATATAGCTAAATTGTAAACGAACTGATTGACATCCTAAAAAAAGTGCGTTAACCATACAAATAAGAATAATATAGTACTACTACTACTACTACTAATAATAGAAATGCCATCAAATCATTTGCGACTGAGAAAAAGAAGAAATGGATTCTCACACAATTTGCTGTATTTAATAAAAAACATTTCGTTTGTTATTCGTGCTTGCCCGTTGAAATTTTGTTGTCAAAATTTTTTATAATTTGTATTCAACTCATTTTAGCATCTATTACTCTTCCTCTCTTTTATTCTCTTTCTCCTCCTCTCTCTTTCTCTCTCTTCCTCTCTCTCTCTCTCTCTCTCTCTCTCTCTCTCTCTCTCGTTTTTTCTTTCCACTCTTTCTTTTATAATATTTTTTGTATTTTTTATTTCGTTTAATAATACTAATCTTTTTTTACATTTGATGATTTGATTTTATACATTGAAATATATTAGAAGTTAATGTTGGTCTCTATATTATGAACAATTTTTTTTTCATTTTGAATACGTTACAATATCACAATATAATTTGTTCTAATTTATTTTAATCACGTAAAAAATCAACATAAGAACTCATGACTTTGTTCCATATAAATGAAATATTTATGAAAATATGTTTTATTCTACAATGTTACTATGCTTTTCATAGTCAATATTACAAATGTTTGACATCAATCATGAAAGAGAGAAGACCATGACTATACATTTATTTCTATATATTACCCTTATATCGTATTATTTGTTTTACATGTTTATTATATTTTTTCAAAAAATCCAATAAAAAGTTTGTTTGTGTTGATAAAATTGTTTAATAAAATCAATTTTTTTTTAATTTGTAATTAGAGTAATTTTATATAATAAATAAGATTAATCAATTATTACATAATTAAAATTTAGATTATAGGAATATTGAGATAAATCAATATTCATTTTAGTTTTTCAATATTTTAATTGTTTAACTAGCTTTCCATATTAGACAAGTGAACATCTGATATAATGTAAGAGTTAATGCCAATATCAACTTACACATCTCTACGATCGCCAAGTTTTTTTAATAAATTTTTGTTTTTATGAAATTATTTTTTTAATCATGTCGGCCAGTTTTGGAAATCTCGTCAAATGGGTGAGTAAAATTTAAATATTTTCTTGCTTTATTAAATGTTAAATAATTTAATATCTAATTTAATTTTAGTTAATTTAATTTTAATATGTTCACTGTTCAGTATATTTTTAAAATTTCTTCACATTTAATTCCATTTAAATTAAAAAATAGTAACATTTTTTTGGTAACTTCAGTTAAACACATTCAATCTGGATGAAACAGTTAAAACAGCAAGTGATCTTAGCAATGGTGTCTGTCTGATTAATGTTCTCAGCCAAATGTTTGTTTTCTGGGGTCTTTTCTCTTCTCTGAAAATGAATCTGTAGATTTTTTAAATTGAAAAAATTATAAATTCAACAACTGATATTTTAAAATATAAATGAATTAATTAATAATTAATTAAACATTTTTTAAATAAGTTGGGAAAGTGTATCTCTAATAGTGTTTATGACATAATGTTTAGGTTTACTACACTATACTTACTAGATTTGACATCGGATAGGTTTGCTATTTTTCAAAATTTACAAAAGAAAACATTTATATCTTTTCAAGATCTTCAACATTTTTCAATGAAGAATGGTCATCCAAATTAAAAACAGACACATCCAATAATTGGCGATTAAAAGTAAATGTTAATTATTATTACATTTTCCAATTTATAAATAATCTCCAAAATTAATACAAAAGTATGTTATTGCAATGAATTAATAATGCTTATGTGATAATAGTGATGAAATCTACAAATGAAATTTTTCCATTTCTATTCTATTTTGAAATTTAGATAAATTAAAAAAACAGATTTGTAAGCAAATTTTAGTACAAATTTTAAAGAGTAGATAAGAATAATTAATAAATTTTAAATAGATTAATGTAAAATAACCATTTTTAATTTTAAAAATTTTTTCATTTTAGGCTAGCAACTTGAGAAAAATTTTGAAAAAATTATTGGATTTTTATCACCAGGTAGAGAATTTTTCAATTTCAATTTTGCTTAATTGGTTTTGTTCTAAATTGTGTTAGTTGTGTTAAAAAACAAACAAACATGATATTAAATGTTAAAACATGGTCAAATCAGTTTTTTAAATTTTCTTGAATAACTTTTTTACTAAAATTTTATTAAATTTTTTATTATTTTTTTTTTTATTAAAATTTAACAGGAATTACAATTTAATGTTCCTGAAAACCATCAACCTGATGTTAATTCAATAGGTTTGATATCTGAAACTTTTAACCAAATGGTCAATCAGTCAGTTCTTGAATCACTCATTCAGTCATTCATTTTGTTATTCAATCAGCATTCAATTACTCGTTCAATCGTCCAATAGTTTATTCAATTATATAACCAATCAATCAATTATTAAATCATCTTACTAACCAACCATTTAGTTATTTATTCAATGCTTCATTGGATTGTTATCCAATGAAATTTCTCATAAATTTATAAACCTATACTGACCAATCATTTTTTTAGTTGTTTAAATGTACAGCCATACAGCCAGCAATACAAACCGACAATATATATATGCATACATACAGTCAGCTAAGTCAGTAACATCTGACAACTAATTAAAACCACATACACACATACAAACACACACAAACATACACAAATATATATATATATATATATATATATGTATATATATGGATGATGATACATATGTGTATATGTACATACACGCACATACTCAAAAGCACCAATACACGCACACACACCCACAAACACACACACAAACACTCACATACATGGCCACACACCTACACACACACACTCACAGCGGAGAAAAATGATGAAAAGGAATCAAGCAAGTTGATTCAGTTGCTGCTTGGCTGTGCGGTGAACTGCGACAACAAAGAGGAATACATACAGAGGATCATGTGCATGGAGGAGTCTGTCCAACACTCCATCATGCTGTCAATCAAAGAGGTGCTCTTCTTATTTTACATTCACTACTAGTTGAAATCATCATTAATTGTCATATAAATGGATTACTACACGCACACACATCCACACACAGCACATATACATCCACACACAAGCACACATACACACACACATACAACAAACACGCACCAACGCACACACACACACACACATTAATATGACATTAATTTATAATATGCTTGTTATCTTAATTTATTATTAATCTTTCATTCAATACATTTTTTGATAAAATTTTCCAGTTTTTTTTTCTACCAAATTAGTAATTAAATTTTGCAAACTCGATTAATTAATGATAATTTCATAAATAGCAATACTTATTTCTTTACTCGTTTGTATGTATGTTTGTTTGTTTGTTTGTATATATGTTTGCTTGCTTGTTTGTTTGTTTGTATGTTTATATTTATATCTAATATTTCCCAGTTAATGTTGAGTGAGTCTGTGAATGTAACAGACCATGAAACCCATCATAGCCATGCACAGGTTAATGAATTGATGAATTTGTGTTTTTATTCATTTCCATTTATTCGTTCTTTATTATATTACGTAATTTGAGTATAATAATATGAATTAATTGGGTAAAATCATGATTAATTAATTAATTATTTAATTAATTTATAAATAATTTAAAATTAATTAATATTTGTTAATTAAGTTGTGAACAACTCGGTGGAATTTAAAAAACTACTGAGTGATAATGACTCACTGGTGCACAGATGTAATGAGTTGGACCAGCAAGTCTGTTGTTGTTATTATTATTGTTGTTGCTATTATTATTATTATTATTATACAATTGTTGTTGTTGTTATTTTTATTTTATTATCTTTGTGATATTTTTTCAACATTATTATTATTATTATTATTATTATTTTTGTTATCATCATTTCATCATCATCTTCATTATTTACGACCTCTTTTCTCCTTATCATCATGTAGGTAAGTCATCACGTAGCTGCTTCATCACTATTGTTTTAAACTTCTTTTCAATATCTACTTATGATTCTACGACAGCTTTCATCATTTTACTCGTCATAAAATATTGTCGCGATCATTATGCGATTTGTGTGTATGTATGTGTGTGTGTATGGTGTGTGTGTTTTTATGGAAATAATAATAATATTTATTATTATGAATTTTTTATTAGGTGCTGCTGTTGTCAGAGGAGAGGGCAGCTTTGAAGGTTGAGAATGAAAAGTTAAACCAGAGAGTTAATCACGTTGACATACTTGACGATGCCAGGTGATGATGATGATGTTTGTGATGATTATGATGACGATGTTTGTGATGATTATGATGATGATGTATGTGATGATTATGATGATGATGTTTGTGTTGGTGATGATGATGATTATGGTGTCTGTGATGTGATGTGATGATGATTGTAGTTTCAATGACTATAACTATTATGATTCTAACGGTGGTGATAATAATATCAGCAAGCTTGATGATAGTGATAATGATGTCAAAGATGATGATGGTGATGATGGTGATGAGGAGGATGATGATGATGAATGTTGATGATGATGTTGTTGTTAACTCATTAAAAGGTTTTGGATGGATGTGACAGGTTATTTTGCGAGGTATACAATGTGCTATATACATCAGTTATGCATAGAAACCCTTGTTTTGTGTGTGTGTGTGCGTTTGTGTGTGTGTGTGTTTGTGCCTATATGTGTGTGTGTATTTGTTTGTGTGTGTGTTTGAACCGTGAAATTTACTTTTGAAATGTTCTAGTAATACAGGCTTATAACAGCAGTATTTTGTCGTTGTTTCCATTTGCTTCGTTACTCATTTAACCACTTGTTATTTTTCTTATTGTCACAATCGTTTTCAATATTATTTTGTTAATTTTAAATCAAAACAACCAAACTAATATATAAATAACAGTTAACTAAGAAAAATTCGTTAAGTCAAACAACTGCACTAATGTTTCAAACTCAGTAATTTGTAATATATACATATATAGATTCCTGCTTTTCATATTTAATGGCACCCGAAGCTCTGGTTTCTATAGATGTACCAGAACAATGTTTTTTAATTGTGATTAATCATACATTTTAGCACACACTAGGTTCATTTCTCCATATTCTCTACCTGATCTATACTAAACTTGTTTTTATGATTGAATTCCTTGATAAAATTTAACAACTTTTTGTATTAATTTTCAAAATAAAATTTATTTTGTAATGTAATGTAATGAATGTAATGTCCTGGTTATGACACTGTCCTGGTTATGACATTAAACTGACCCTCACTGCCTTGTGAGTGATGTTGGATCATCAAAGGCTAGGCCCACCGCTTATAACTGTGGTTGCGTAAGGAAGGGCGTCCTGCTTAAAAATTAGCCAAATAAATTACTTGTGATGACAGAAGTGACAATGACCCTCATCGAGGGGTATTTCGGTTTCATCATAGGTAGCCAAACGGCAACCCCCGATTTCGGGGAAAATGTCATCTAAACGTGTGTTGTTGTTGTTGTAATGTAATGAATGTGTCTGCGGGTATAACTGTATGTATGTAGGTAGGAAGAGCAGATGTGTTTCTTTAATGCTGGATTACTTTTGCACCCACCAGCCTGTGAGTATCCTTCCATTTCCACACTTTCAAAACTCGTCATTTTATTCTTTTGGTGTAGTCTAATAGTCAAGGTGCCTGGCATTGCTTATGCAGTGTCTGGGTTTGAATGCGATAGTTGAAACACAATGGTAGTAACCATATCAGTTCGTTTATCACCCAACTTTTAAACTTCTGACCTGTACGAACATGCACGCATGTACAATAATGTAGTGTACGCACGAACGATGTATCGTACGATTTGCATATAGTAGTCTTCAAAAAGTGTTAGCCCAATGTGCTTTTTTTAGCCATGTTAGCATGCAACTGTCTCGTCACGTTACTAATCAAGGCCCACTCTGCAAAGGAATAATGTTAAAATTACTAGATTTTTTTAAATAATATAACAATTGTGGGTTTTTTTATTGTTCTGCTGTTTCGCTAACATGCATATGTCATATGTTGATGCTTTTGTTTGTGTGTAATGTTGGCTCTTAAAGTCGTGTGGCTGAGTGTGACTTCGGCGTTAGAGTATGGCAGTTTTTTTTTAATCATTATTACTGTTGTTATTGTTATTGTTGCTGTTATTGTTATTATTATTTTTTTTATTATTTTTTTGTCTTCATCCAGTACACCGCTTGGCCGAAGGTTTCAGCAGCTGCAAAAGCAAGCAGATCAACTGCAAGATGAACTCTTCAAGTCTGAAGCAAGTTGGTGTTGTTGGAGCTGTTGTTTGTGTTGTTGTTTGTGCTGTTATTTGAGTTCTTTGCTGTTGTTGGTGCTGCTGTTTGGGTTGTTGTTTGAGTTTTTAGCTGTTGTTGATGTGGTTGTTGTTTGTGTTTGGAGGGGCTGTTATTTGTGTTGTTAGTGCTCTCTGCTGCTGTGCTGTTATTGTGGTTGTGTTTGTTTGTTGCATTGTTAGTGTTTGTATTGTTTTTACTGTAGTTTGTTGCGGTTTTGCATCTTAATACAGTAAGTCTAGTTGTAAGTATTCTATTAATACTTTGTTTGTCGTTTAATTTATTATTTTATTAATGAATGTAATTAATTAATTAGCCAATTTTACTCATTCCTTTCAGTGAAAGATGATTACAAGATTAAATGTGAAATCCTTGAGAAGGACCTCCTTCTGATGCAAAATAAGGTTTGTAAAGTTGCTTACACTTTTATTATTATTATTATTATTATTATTATTTTAATACTATTCAATTTTATATTGATAATTAATTAATTATAATTAATCAATTATTAATTAATTAATATTATTTTAATAAGGCGGACTCGTTATCTCGATTGACTGAAGAGACGAGAAACATGAAGGATGAGTTAGACATCCTTAGGCATACATCAGATAAAGTGGTGAGTGACTGAAGATAGTGATGATGACGAAGATGATGTTACTGGTGATGATGACGATGATGATGACGTGGTGATGATGACGTAGTGATTATGACGATGATGAGGACGACGATGATGATGTTGGCGATGACGTCGCTGATGATGATTTTTAATTATCTCTTTCAAATTTAGGCTAGATATGAGATGACAATTAGCAGCTTGAAGAAGAAGATCGGTTTGTATTTTTTTTTCATCTAACATTTATCACCATCAGTGTTACTATAGTTATCATTGGTTTTGTTGTCATGACATTCATTATTACTATCATAATCGTCATCGTCTTGTCATTTTTTTTATCATCAGATGACATGGATGAACTGAGAAATCAGTTGAAGATGACTGAGGATAAAAATGTCAAACAGCAAGAGAAGATATTTCAACTGGAAGAGGTTGATTGGTCGATGGATTGATTGGTTGAGTGGAAAGTGATTGATATAACGATTGAATGGTTGAAATGGCTAAACTGACCGACCAACTGATTGATTGATTGATTCATCGATCGATGATTGATTGATTCATCGATCGATGATTGATTGATGATTGATTGATTGATTGATTGATTGATCAATCGATCGATTGATTGATTGATTGATTTATTGATTGATCAATCGATTGATTGATTGATCAATCGATTGATTGATTGACCGATTGATTGAATTACCTCATCTCTTTGTAAGGAGTTGAAAAAGTCGAGTAGTCACCGTACTCAGTTGGAAGTGCAGAAGAGGCAGATGATTGACCTTCAGCTGAGGGTGACGGAGGAGTGCAACAAGTCGGACAAGTTGCAGGTCGATCTTTCCAGGTGTCAGGAGAGGTTCGCTGATCTCGTGAAGGAGAAGGAGGTTAGTTATGGCGGTGAAGATGATGATGAAGATGAGATTGAAAATGAAGAAGATGATGATGGAAATGGTAATGAAGATGGTGATAAAGATGATGATGAGGATGAAGAAGATAATGATGACGATTTTATGTATTTAATTTTACGTGTGTTAGCTCACTCGAACGAGTGTCATCACATTAACTATCATCGTCGTCGTCGTCATCATTACACTTCGTCATATGGCATTGTTATAATTATTTATCATTAATCACCTTAATTGTCGTCGTCATCATCATCATTGTTATTATCGTCATGATCATTAGAGACTTCTTGAAGAAAGAAATGCCTTAAAAGAAATGAATGAAGAATTGACATTGGGACAATCATCTCTGCCTTGTAACTTCTAATTATTATTAGTAGTAGTAGTTGTAATAGTTGTTGTTGTTTTAGCAGTAGCATATATAGTTTTTTTTTCTTTTTCAAGTATCAACATCTATGAGTAGTAATATTGGTGACGACGACGATGATGATGAGCTGATGCTGATGAGTGCGCCTCTACATATCAGGTTGTTGTTTGTATTTGTTTGCTGTGTTTTTGTTATGTTATGTGTTGTTGTGTTATGTGTTGTTGTTATATTATGTGTCGTTATGTTGTACTGTAGCACGTTGAGATGTTGTTGCTATGTGTTGTTGTTTATTAAAATTAATAAAACCAATAAGTTAATGTTATTACTTTCAGTGTATACTAACATATAAGCAACTTATGAGGGATTTTATCTAATGATTTAAACGCTTCTATTGATTTTGACTTTTATTTCCAACACTATTAACTCTCCATTCCTTCCCAGAAACAAGTTTATGAAACTCCAGCGCGAGAACAAAATGTTGAAAAGTAGAACATCAAACAGTGCTGGTAGCGAGGAGCTGCCCGTTCTGCAAGGACTTCTGGAGGAAAGTAATAAAAGGAATTCCGAGTTGGAAGTGGAGTTAAGGTTGTTGGTGTTGTTACTTTGTTACTGCGTTTCTTTATCTGTTGTTGTTTTTTTGCTGTTTTTATTGCTTTGTGGTTAGAATCTGAAGCAGAGTCACTTGCTCTTGGTTATTTCGTTTGGGTTTTGTCCAAAATGTTACCTGTTTGATTTTTTTTACGTTGTATCAATTTTCGCTGTTGTAAAAGTTGCGTTTTCGAAAACTTTGATTTTGTCGTTAATTTTATTATGGCTTCGAAGGATATTTTTAGAGTTTGATTGGTGATGTAGCTAGCATCAAATTGCGGCTGTTTCATTTAGCTTTTTGAAGTGTGGCCTTTCCATATTGCAATATTTTAATAAATTAAAAAAAATGTTTTTTTGGTTTTATTTTCAGAAGCTTCAATAGAAAAGTGTTAGAATTAGAAGCTGTTGTTGCAGATTTGAAAGACCAACAACAGCAGCAGCAGCAACCGCTCCAACAGTCACAACTTTTCAAATCAAATGACGACTTTGCTTCAGATTTCAACCTTAACTTGGTTAGTTGGCAGATTTTTGTGTGTTTTCATGCTTCAAAAATAGTGTTTTTTTTTATTATTCAAATTAATTTTATTGAACCTCCTCAAAAGTTATAAATTTATTTATATGTAAATTTCTAAAAAAAAAATGTTTTGTCAGTTAATTTCAATCAGTTACCTCCTTCGTATTTAATAATATTTTTTCAAACATTTTTTCTTCAGTTAATTTGGTTTCCTCGTTAAGTCTTCAATCTACCAAATGATCAATCAGTCAGTCATTTAGCTAAACAATCTCTCAACTAACCAATCAATCACTCAATCAATCATAGATGAGAGATGAGATCAAGCAGTTAAAAGAGCAGCTATCAGCAAAGGATCGAGAGATGAAATGCATGGAGGAAAAGTACGCCCTCTACCTCCAAAAAGCCAAACATGTTAGTGATGTCGGCGTTGGTAGTAGTGGCCGTGGTAGCTGTTAGTTGTAGTTGTTGTGTAATGTATAAACGTAACATAGGATACATTCAATTCGTGAGCATGGTTATTTGTTAGACACGAAACCAACAAACATGCAACATACATCCGTCATCCTAAACGACACATTCGCCAGTTATTCCAAGAACAACATCGCAGCATTGTGCCGCAAGACATCGCTGCCTTAACTGACAAACTGGCCGAAAAGGAAACTCAAATTAAACTACTTGAAGTTAGGACGTGTTTCATTTCGTGATGTTCAGTGCCGTTTTTATAGTCGTTTTACAAGGGGATAATTTGTCGTGGTAGTTTTTATTTCTAGTATAGTTAATTTCGTTTTATCAATGTTTGTTTTTATTGTTTAATGTGTTATCATTTAGTTATTTTGTGACAGGAACAGCTAAAAATAAACGAAAATCAAGAAAGAATTATGTTGTCGGCTTTCTATAACATGGTTTGCTAGATACCTTTGTGTATTTTAATCTTAACACTTGAATGATGAGTCATGTACCGCTTTTCAATTATGATATCTACGCCGAATTCTCATTTTCTGCTGTTTTCGCATTACCTTTATTCCAAATTAGAATGATTCATTTTTTTTAATTGTCTACAAAAAAATGCTTCGATTGAAACCAAACGAGAAATGTTATATTCATCTAATGAAATTGACAATAAATTAATTTTGCAGAGCACGAATTTGCACAAGAAATCTCTGGATGAAAGGTTGGTGAAGGGCCTCTCTAACGTACCCCAGTCACTCCTCTCGAAGCAAAGAGGGGTGCAAACGAGAAGAATCCTTAGTAGCACACCTACCACACAGTTTGCCAACAGATGAGTGAATGACGTCAAGCGACCGACACAAATCACGCTTCAGTAGAGTCAACAACCGTTGTTGTTATTATATGAACGTCAGAACTTTTAAGTCTTGCTCCACGGAAAATATTGAATGTTTTCTAAAGCTTTGTTATAAAATTACCAACACGACATTTGTAACGACTATAGATTTCTTTGATTTTCTTTGATTATAATAACTACCGGTTTCATAATTATTAATGACAACCGCCATCTCGGGTACAATAACAAGTAGGATTAGCGATAAGATGTAATAATAGTCGAACACTTCATCTGCAATTCACGATTTGTCGTTTGGCTTTGTTTCATTTCATTCTGTCGACATGCGACCTACTGTACATAGTATTATTAATATATAATATAGAATTCATGCAATACTGTATAAAATATGTCTCCATCCTTTCAACACACACACACATATATATATATATATATGTGTGTGTGTGTTGCATGTATGTTTGCATTTTCGTTTACGCATGTACACGCGTGTTCAACGTCATTGATCTTTATACCTATCGAATTTTTGTGTTTTTATTAGTATTCAAAGTTTTATAAATAGTTTTTACATTTGCGACATTTATTTAACAGTAATCACCAAGCTGTACAGGCTGTAGAATACAAATAAGAATTGAATGATTTTTAAAAGAATTTAACGTCATTTTTTTTATAAACGAACTCAGCTTTGTGAGTGATCCAACGGACTGTTCATGTTTGCCTTTGATTGGAGTGTACTTGTCGCGTTTTTATAATACACTGGCGCGAAAATTGTCCTCAGATACATGTACGTACAGTACATGCAGCCGTTCTTTAATCTCATTAAATAGATAAACATTAACAATAAAAACTTTTTTTATAAACAACATTTGCAGATCACTGTTTATATATTGTTCTATATACAGTTATTCGTTCATGTCCACTTGGCCCCCGCCATCTCCACCACCATCTTCGTTTCTCATTCCATCGCTCTTATCACTGTAGTAGTCGTCGTCGTCATCCGCGACGTCCCCACGTCCACCACTGTCCGAGAAATAGTTGTCATCCTCATCCTCGATTGCTGTGGACGGGTCGATGATGTACCTGGTGCATCTCCTGAGCACGCGTGCCGACAGCTTCTTGATCTCTTTAACGTTGGACATCTGGAAAAGTTCGGCCAACTTGTCGAGGCCGTTTTCGTTCCTCAGGATGGGGCAATACTTTTTTACTGGTTGATTTTTTCGGATTAGTTTAATTGATTCTTTCACTTGAACTATGGCTGAGACTTAATTTAAAATATCTTACCTTACCTACGAACCGATTACTTAGATATAGGTGCAATGCTAATATTTCAATCTTAAAAAAAAATCGATCTATCTTCGAACAACTAACTATTCGAACAAACAACCAGCCAAAAATTATCAAAAAATCAATCGGCTAACCAAGCCTACACAGAACAGCCAATCTAAAATGATTCATCCAATCAAACAATTAACACGAATGAAAGATACACTCAACTCAGCAACAACATAACATAACATCAGTAGCAGCAAAAACAACTAACGGTAAACTTTGGTTAGGTTGCAGAGGGCCCAGACGGCCCACAGTTGAACTTCCGGTGTGTGGTGACAATCAAGTAGTTTTAGTATCGGAGCGAACGACCTGAGGATTATTTTAACGTAATTGAAATAAAAGGGTAATGCACTTTTATGTTACACTACTCTTATAAGACATTTTGTTTCAGTGAACACCATCATCATCTATTTCCACCTCACCATAGATATTACCTCCTCTCTGTCGCCAGTTTTTGTCGCACAATTTTCAAATCAGCATCAGAACTACCATCGCCGCCACCACCACCACATCTTCAGTCGTCATCATCACAAACACCACCATCATCGCTACCACCACCTGTAGTTGATGTTCCTCTCAGCACGCATGTTCCACCTCTTGATCGCTTTCACCATCCTCTTCCTCACCATCTGCCGATCAGGATGTGACAGGCACCACACGCTCGCTCCATCGTACATGATATTCGCAAGCACACCGCATGCATTGTAACTTACCTGGTCATCGTTATTATCGATAATGAACAATTGGTTGGTCGGTTGGCTGGTCACCGCATAAATCTCAATCAATGGAAAAGAAATAATAATACGAATTAGGAACAGCTAGAAAGCCAAGTGTCTATCTAGTTAGCCAACCACGAACCAACCAACCAATCGGAAGGTCAATCGAACAATTCATTAAACAACTGAATATAGTTAATCAGCTGAGCCATCAAACTAACAGAAAACATGAGACTTTCACACACTTCTTAAAAACTTCTAACCATCTAATCAATCCACAAACAACAACACTCAATCAATCAATCAGCAAACCATACAATCAACCAAACCATTCCACCAACAAATGACCCACTTCGATTCCATCCTTGACGGAATCCAGCAGATCAACGAAGACGCATATGAACTTCTCCTGGATCAGATATGCCCTCAAGAAATCAACCTCTGCAACATTCCCCAGTAGACCCATCATGTTACGCAACAATTCATCTTTATCTCGAAATTTCTTCCGGGCAGAAATTATTTTCAAACAATTATTTTTAAGTAATATTATAAAGTTGGAGTTGAAACAACTCTTTTTTTATATACTTTTATAAGCCAGGCTATTTCTAAAACGATAAAAACAAATTCGGTAAGATTCAAATGATGCATGAGTAACAACGATGTGTCGTTTATACGACGAAAAAGACTTCATTCAACGATTGTTTAACATACTTAAATACTATACTATAGATAGTTAAACATTAACTATTGTTAATGTTTATGTTTTTCGATCGTAATAATGAAAGCATTGAAAATATCCAAATGACAATCGCTACGGAAATATTTAAAACAAGATACTATATTATAATAAATAAATAAATAAATAAATCAATCAATCAATCAATAAATAACGAAGGTACTTCTAGGCATTTGATGAATATAACAAGGCCGCTATTTTCAATGAACTTTTGGCAGTTGGATGGGGATTCATCTGTTGAAAATGATGAAGACGATGACAATGATGATGGTGGAAGGGATGATATTGATGATAAGGAAAAGATGGATTATGTAAACGCCGGTGGCGATTGAGGAGGTATTAATTATTAACAAGAACTGTTTCAAATACCGACTTGCCAGCAATTCGACAACCAGACAATCAACCATTCATAAATCAACGAACCAACCAAACAATCATTCACATGTCAGCCTCAACCATTCATAAATCAACTAATCATTCATAGACCAACCAAACAATCATTCACACGCCAACCAACCAATCAATCATTGCTCAAACACCAGCCAATCAACCAACAATTGCACATAAAAAAACGATCAAGATGCAAATAAACTTTTAAAATCAATCAACCAATGAATTGATCATCTAGATCTGATCAGCAGACCTGTAGCATTCCACATAAAGCTCCATGAAACTTCCATGACCTCATCACACACGTTCTCTTCTTGCTTCTTCTCAATCAATTCCAAAATGATCTATAATTTTTTAACGACATATCTTGTTTACAGACATGCTCACAAACGAACGAGGTCATAGCAAAAACTTCGAAATTTGTTTAATAGAGACAAAATATAATAAATCTTATTAATAATAAAGTAATATGAATGAAGAAACTTCTTAAAGAAGTTGAAAGGAATGGGATATCTCACTTCAAAAGAGCCCAGTTCGCCAAGCATCATCTTCTCTTCATTGTCAACCTATGTAATATTTTTTAAAATTAAGTTCTACCTATTATTATTCAACTAAACAGAGCCGACGAACGTTTAGAAAGTTGTTTAAAGTTAAAAATATGTGTGGTGCCCCTGATATAATTGCAGATTTTTAAGTTTATATATGTGTGCATGTATGTGTGCCTGTATGTGTGCATGTATGTGTGCATGCGTGCGTACATGAATAATTAAAATAATTAACAAGCGAACTAGCTTTCACACAATTTACAACTTTTTCTCACTCGGTGAACCTATTAAGAAGCCATTTTAAAAATCAATCAATTTATTTTAAGCCAAACTTGAAATACGGCTAATCAGAATGCAAATTAATTATCCATTAATTGCTCATTAATTGATTGATTGATCGATAACTAACTCATCAACCAATCCGATCAATCAATCAGCCAACCAACTTATTAATGAACTTTAAAAGAGCAGGGACGAACTTGACACGCCATGGAGTTGATGAGTGACAGGCCAACCCTCTGCACTAAGACGGATTCACCGGAGGTCGGTTGACGAATGATGCCAAGTAACAATTGAATGACACGTCTGTATTCGTGCAACTATATGGTTGGTTGATTGGTTGGTTGGTTGATTGATTGGTTAATTGATTGATTGATTGGTTGGTTGATTGATTTGTTGGTTGATCGATTGGTTGATTGGTTGATTGATTGGTTGATTGATTGGTTAAATATTTAACTAACTGACTGACTGAATCAATCAATCAACCAATATCATTGTGTGATTGAATGGCTGTTTAAATATATGAATAACTGAATGAATGAATGAAGACTAAATCAATGACTGAATCAATGACTGAATCAATCAATCAATCAATTAATCAATCAAGCAACCAACAAACCAATTAATCAATCAACAAACTAACAAGATCATATGGTAAGTCAAGATGGCTCAGTGTTAAGCAGCCATTCCTTGGCATCTTGAAAGAAAGAAAAAATAAAACAATAATAAAAACAACAATAATAATAATAACTAACAACAATAATAAAAATAATAATAACATTTGAGATGACTGATATATTATCTTCAACGGCATCCAATATCGTTCTGACTACATGCCTGCAATTAATATATAACAATAATAATAATAGTAATAACAATATAATAATAATAATAATAAACAACGACCTTTTAATTTTCGTTGTAAGATATGGTCTCAGGTCACCTTTTACCAAGTAGAACAGAGAGGCACTGATGATGATGATAATGATGATGTTGTTGATGATGGTGATGCTGAAAAAGATGATGAAGATGATGATAAAGAAGAAAATGATGAGGTTGTTGGTGACGATGATGGTGGCGATGATGAAGATGATGGCAATGGTGAAATTAATGATGATGAATATAATGGTGATGATGATGGTGAGGATGATGATGATGAAGAAGAAACAACAACAATAATAAAACGATGCCTAATATGATGATATGGTTATCAAGAAATGATGGTGGTGATGACGATAATGATACGGGTGATAATAACGATGAGGATGCTGATAATGATAACACCGATGATGATGATGAAATGACGATATTGACCAAAATAAAACTGTTGGGATTAACTAAAATACCAAAATAAAGACATAGAAAAGTGAAAATAACGACGACGACGATGGAGATGATGGCTGCAAATTAAAAATCATGCACCTTCCAGAAATTTGGATATCATTGCTGTGTGGGTGCGTATCCATCGCCTTCAGAATCAGCTGATTACGACGGTGTTAATGTTGATGATGGTTTAAATGACGTCATAATGATGATGGTAGAGACGATGACGAAAATGACTAACAACAATCAGAAAATAAATTAACAAGCATTTGTATAAACATCCTTCAAAATCACTAATCTTACAAAAGTATTAGTATCACAAAATAATAACGATGATATTATGATTATATTAATTATTATCATTAAACAGCATAATCAAATCAATCCAACTCTCATCATCACCATCATCATCATCTGGATGGTACCATCACATCAAAACCAAATATTATCATCAAACAACAAAAGCAAATGCAATCCCATCTTAATCGTCTTCCTCTTCATCACCTGGAACATTGTGGCCTGCGTCTCCAGAGGGATATTGACCTGGTTGGGGACGACGACGTCAAAGACGGCACTAAGCACCATCAACAAAATTTTCGGCCTACCATGATAGGCCTCCAACGAAACTAACAACTGATCCAAGTTGGCATTTCCACTCACCTATTCATAGATATGTTGAATATATTAATTAATTTTAACTCATCGAAGTAATTATATTTTCGAAAGATTTTTTTTATTTTTAGATCTATTTTAATTTTTGCCGGAGGTGCAATTTAAAGTTTGTGTTTATGTCATCAATTGAAAATGCATAAAAAAAAAACAAACAGAAAAGGCTAACGACGACAACAACAACAACAACACAACCTAATCAACATAAAACAACATCATCAACAACGACGCAGCATCGTCAACCAACAGCTACACAACAATAACAACAGCAGCACAAAAACAAAAATGACATCACCAACAACAACCTGATCGGCAGGGATATCACTACGGAAGCACGGATCGTCGATACAGTTGAACAGTCCCAAATACTTTAACCGCCTGTCTGTCAACCATTCAATGGCTGGTTGACTGCATTAGGTTTCATTCGTTTATTTACTCATTCATTCACTCGTTCATTCATCAATTCATTCATTCATCTACGCCTTCATTCAACTTTCCTAATTCAAAATGGTTTATCAGAAAAACGATAAAAAACGAAATAATCTGTTCAATTACTCACCTTAGTAATCAACCACAAGCAACCAACCAATCAATCAACCGACCAACCAACCAGTCAACCAACCTGCCAATCAATCAATCACTCAACTAACTCAATTTGACATCTCATTCTGGCTGATAGCGGAATGTTGTGCAGCCTCTCACCAGCCAGATTTGTACCACACAGCTCCAATCTACATAATTAAAAAAATTGTAGTAAAATTATTCAATTATTTATTAATCCAATTAATTAATTAACTGATAAATTAAATACTAGATCAATATCTAGACATACAAATCAATCAATCCATTAATTAATCAACCCTTCATTCGATTATACTATTAAATCACCAATAATTAAGTAATCAACCAGCAAATCAATCAATCAACCCCTGATTACAAAAAACATTCGATCAATCAATCAACCATAAAACTAACTGACCAATCAATCCATCAATCAATCAACCAACTAACCAATCAATCAACCAACCAGCCAACCAACCAACCAACCTTTCGAGAGATGGTAGTTGATCTAGCAGCTTCTTCATGACATGATTGACATCACATTCGAAGAATAAATGCTGACTAGATTGCTGGGCTTCCTTGCTAGCTCCAATGTCCAAAACACTAAATTAAAAATGGCAACAGTAATCATAATAATAATTATAACAATTATAATTATAATTGTTATTGTTACAGTAACAACATCAGCAACAAACAACAACACAAGCCTGAGGTGAGTTAGTGTTCCAACAGCCTCCATGATCTCAGGAAATTCATCTTTCGAGTTTCTCAGCGCATCATGAAGGGAGAGAACCTGCAGTCTTTCGAACTTTCTTAAGATTCCTTCCAGCCCCTCTGTCAATAAAGAAATGAACAATTAAACTGAACCAAATAAACAAACAAACAAACAGAAGAAACCAAACAACCAACCAATAAATAAATAAACAAACGAACGAACGAAAGAACGAACGAACGAACGAATGAATGAATAAATAAATGAATAAATAAATGGTTACCAAAAAAAACAATAGAAGCAAATGAATAGACATAAAAAATAGTTTTATAGTATGCCTCTTAAACTTAACAATAATTTATAATTTATCACTCACAAATAGCAGAAAAAACACACATCTTTTTAAATATAAAACTGCTTGGGTAGATTGGGTAGATATATGTGTTTGTTCTCTCTCTTTTCTCTCTCTCTCACTTACTCACACACACACACACACACAGAGAGAGAGAGAGAGAAAGAACGAGAGAGAAAAACACGAACGAATCGCACATTTGTATACACATCACATATTTTATTGCATTGATCGTATTTAATTTAATTACACACAGGCACACACACACACACACACACACACACACACACACACACACACACACACACACACACACACTTACTTATAAGTTTACAATAAGACAGGTCAAGGACAACCAGTGATTTGAAGCAGAGGTCGAAATTGAAGTGAAGGACATCTGGCGTGCGGGGGTTGTACAGAGATGGAATTGTTAGTGACAGCAGCTGTGGACAGTCCAGTGTACTCACTGATTTGCTCTTACTGGACATAGTGGGTTTGTCAATTATTTATTAACTTATTAAATTTGGGTATAAAATAATAAATTTAAGTAAAAATAGCCATAATTTTTATGAAATAAAAGTTGATTTTAACATTGGATGATATGTTTAATCGCATTCCCATAGAAGCTAGGCTACCTGACATTTATTTATAGCAACACTTTAAGCAGTTTTGTTATTGCCAACTGCATATTTCTTTTTTTTCAAAAGATGCACTCTTATCACGTATAATTAATTATTCATGGCTACAACATGTATTGTATAGCTAGCTGCCTGGACTAACAACCACTAACAACTTTAAAATAATTGACATTTGTACTTAAATATTTTACAAAATATTATGATTTTGGGCATGACCAATAAAAAATTGAGTAAACATATCTTACAAAAATGATTATTTAAATAAAGAGTTAAATAGAAAATTTAGATAATTTTAAAACAAAAACAAAAAATTACTGGTCAAAGATATATTGAAGACTTTTGCTGAAATGCAAATGCAGAAGATGTTTAGAGAAGTTATTTATGATGTCCGTTAAATCGAGAGTCAATCTTTTGGAGCTAATATCTAGTTGCAGTACTTTTTGAGTCGATAGCAATGCAAAGAGCTCGAGAGATGTGAGAGTGGGGTACTGTAAGAGGTTCAACTTCTTGATTGGAAACCTCATGGGATCTTTGTAGCACTGCAAAAACAAATCTAAATCAATAGGCTGGCACATTTCTATACTCTTGTGATGTAGCATGTCAGAGATTGCAACTGGAAAATGAATTTCTGGTCGGGCTGCGGTGATGAAAATAGTCTCATAAATTTAAATATATGCAAAACAAAGTTGCAATTGAAAAACAAAAAGTCAACAATAAAAGAAAGATTTAAAAATAGAATTAATTTAATTGAGAATAAAGTTAAAGACAAGTTTGTTCGTTAGTGACCCAACAATCAAACTAATAATTTAATATATTATTATTGTGTATCAATAGCAAAAAACTGAAAGGCAGATTACATTTAAGCCACCACCTTCTAGTGTGACTGTTCCATTCGGAGTTTGACTTTCTTTCATGATGAGCTGAGCAAAGTTTTTGACGACATATTCCAGACAGATGTTTTGCAAAGTATCAGGCTCTTGGTGGTTCCAGAGTTTAGTGAGTTCGATCTTTTTCATTTCTGGCCTCATACTCCTGGCAGCCATTTTGTTGATTGTACGTTGAAACTAATAAATATATATATGCTCTAATCTCTACTCATCAACTAGAGAGGGCAAATAAAAAATATAAGATAAAATAAATGTATTATTTAATTTAACTATTTACTATAATTTTTAAATGAAAACATGATAAAAAAAAACTATTTTGTTTAATAATTTAATTAAAATGCTTTTTTATAATGAGTGAGAAAGCCAAAGTTAGTTAGTTTAGTAAGTTTAGTTCTTTAGTATTTAGTTTTAAATTTAATTTAATTAATTATTAAATTATAAGATAAACCAAAACACAGTTTAATTTAACATTCAATATTAAAAAACTATATATTATATGAAAAAATTGTTTACTATCACAAAAATTACTTCTGTTGTGTTTGTTAGTTTTTAATAAATTATTTCTGTATTATTCTTGTTTGAGATGTGAAATGAAAAAATATATTGTAATTTCTAGAAAATAATAATTTAATTAACTATTGTATGACAAATATATAAAAAATTATAAACAAACTAAAAATCGTATTTAAAAATCGTTTTGGTAGATTTCCTGTCATTTTGCAAACTTTCGCTATTAAAAACCAAACAAAGCTCGCCAATGTTTATATATGAGACGTTTAAAAGTGCATCTAACTAAAAAAAGTAAAAATGGCCAATGTTCTAATTGTCCAGTGTTTTAAGCAGTTTTGGTCCAGTCAAAAACTGGATCAGTAAAAATTTGCTAAAAACCTCGGGTTTAACTTAGACATTCATGGTAACAAACAAATTTTGATTAAAATATTCTGTAAAAAAATGTAAGAAGTCATTGGGAAAATTTTACTTAAGTTATCTTTGGGGAAATATAGAAAATATGAAAAAGTATTACGCTAACGATCATGATTTTCTTGTGTTTAAAATATAATTAATTTAGGGCCACAGTATCAATAAATAATACTACTTTCATTAGTACAGCCTAATAATATATGCATGATGCCTAAGTTTGTTACCAACTTCCAATTCCAAATAACTGAATTTCACGTAAAATTGAGCTTTAACACTTGAACAGAACCCAAAAGAAAGCATTTGTTTCACTGCAGTGTATTTCACCTGTTGCGTATATTGTTTCAAGTATTGTGCATAATTCAAGGTAATTAAGGTGCTTTTACGCTAAGTTTATGGTGAGATTGTTAAGATGGGAATGGAACACTACGGTCTTATCTATAAGTATTTTGTAATAATGCTATCAAGCTACTAATCTGAACGATTAGAATTAAGAATAAGAAAACGCCGAAATAAATCTCAGCCGAGTGTGTCTTTTAGAGGAGGAGGCAACATTTTTACAACCAAATCAGCAGTTTATTGTACAGAAAACATTTCAAACCATGTATAGAGAATTGAAGAAATATTCGTTGTATACATTTGTACCGTACATACATTGTGAATCGTGTCAAACTGCGATGTATGATAGTTGAAAAGTACTTCAATTAGTAGAAAGATGACGTCAAGTCATACTTTTCTTCTAATGGACTTCACAAATTTAAAAAACTATTCATTAAATTACGTCAACTGATAATATTAGCAATGTAAAACATCGGCATAATAATAATAATATAAATAAAATAAAAAGCATCGCAACAATAACCAATTAGCTTAAAAATATAACAACTACAAGAAATCTAATTGCCTGATATTATTAAATTGGTCACATGTGAGATATTGGACAAAAGTGTAGAGCTTTAAATTTTTAACAGCCTTGCTACATATATTTCATATTATGAACGCGTTTAAAACATGTCAACGCTAGACAAACTTGTTAATGCCGTGCAATTTTTTGTGATTAAATTAGAACAATAACCTAATGTTATAGGGTTATATACATATATAAATATATATTTATATATATATGCAAAGAATAAAAGAATATGAATTAGCTTGTTTGAATGGCTGTGTTGCTATATTCGTTCGTATGAATGTGACTGATAATTCGTTGTTTGATCATTACGTAAAAATATAGATAGCTGCAAAACCTCTTACATATTCGACCATGAGACTGCAAATAAAACAACTGGAAAACATCAATAAAATATTAAGTGAGCGTGATGATCAGAAAAGCTAGCATCGTTTTTCCTATATATAGATAATGATTAACCTTACAGATATTATAGCTTCGTATAATTTCAACTATAATAATTATTAACATATTAACCAATTTGTAATGATACAAATGTAAAATGAATCAAAACTCAGCTAATATTATATATATATATATATATAACTAAAATATATAATAATATGTATATATATATATATATATATATATATATATATAAAGATAGGTAATTCATTCTTAAGCTCTCCTCATTTATAAAAGTCAAATTAAAAAAATTGAAATGTTCAATCATTATTATTAAGTTAAGCGCTACACCAACTAGCGCTACACATCTTTGTTATTTTATTTATCTCATCTCACTGGGTGCCACTTCCAGTTCCTCTGTGGTGACGCAGGTCCAAGGGATGGCCTTGGAGATGGTTTCCAACATGTTCACCTCGTTCGTCAGTCTCGTCATCTCCTCGCGGTAGGCCTCCGTCATTTTCTGTATCATATGTATCAAATGTTCCGTTATCATGATATCAAACATTTATTTTAATTTCCGTCTAACATCAAACTCTGGAAAACGCAGTTTGATGCAAAAGGCCAATCATTTTGTTGCAGTTATTAAGAAGGTGTGATAATGATGAAAAAGAAATAAAACGATTAACTCGATTCGTCGTTGGCTTATTCATGGATATTATTACTTTCATTGGTATCTATAATTTATATGTTTTCTGTAGCAAAAGATGTTAACAAAAAATTATTTAAAGTGCAATTCTCAATGACAAAAGCAACGAGACAAGGAGTCGATGTGTGCAATATAAGAAGCAACGAATGCAAAACAACGAAGAAATTTTTATGACTCGTTCGTAACAGAACCTTGTAATGGTCGCCCCTTTCTTTGAGGGTGATGAAACGTTCGTTGAAGTTGGTCATCCTCAACTTATCTGTGTTCTTTTCCATTTCATCTTGACACCTCTTAAAGTTTGCCATGTTAAATGGCTCCAATTTATCTAACATTGTGGAATGTTCGTCAGAGATTTGAGTCACGACGATGATGACGAGGAAGATGATGATGAAGATGATGACGATGATGGTTTCTATGATGATGATGATGACGATGAATTAATACATTAACATGATGATGATGATAGTGAAGTCAATTAAATAACTGCTTGGAAAAGATGGATTGAATGACGACAATAACGACAACAAAACTGATGATGATTTGAACGATGGTGACCCAGATGATTACGAACTCAGGTTATGGATCACAGCGTTAACATTTTCTTCTCCTTCCTTACAGACATACTCAATATCTTCTTCCAGAGTAATGAGCGTTTCACCCACATCAATATGAATCTGAAATTATTATTGTTATTACTATAGTAACTATTATTAATATTATTATTTTTATTATTACTGCTACTACTTCTACTACGACTGTTTTTTTCTATTGGCATTTTTTAAAGAATTGAAATGTAGACAGTGAGCATTACAAGAATTTGTTTAAGTATAACTATAAATTTGTAAAAACTATGAATTAATTGTTTAAGTAATTTTGTTGTACTATTTATATGAAAAAATAAATGATATAGTTGACGATATCAATGATTTAACCAATAATTTATTATCAATAAAATATCCAAGATTTAAAAAATTAACAATTTAAAAAATTAACAATTATTTAGTATTAGCTTCTATAACATTTTCTACCTTTTCCATTTTTGCATACTCCTCTTCATTTTTCTCCTCAAAATTATTCAACAACAGCTCGGCTTTGTCTAATTCAGCAAAATGTACTTCGTGTTCAGCAAGCATAATTTCAGATTCATTCAAACTATTCATGTAAGTTTCCACGTTGTTCTCGTAAATCTAAAAAGTTTGTTGTTATCATCGTCATTTAATCGTTATTTCGTTGTTATCATTTTCAATGTAATTGTTATTACCACAAGGCACTTTAGCATAACTAACGCAGCATTATTTTAGAAAATAAATTTGTAAATTAATTTTTATCGATGAAGGACAAAGATTACACAGATTGCTATCATTAATCACACTGATCTAAAAAAAATTGTCGACGTCCGTAGTGTAGCTACCATATTTTTGTCGCACACTTCGTTGCTTCACCACTACCGATGCTTATGTATTGCCACCTCCTTATTTCCCAATCTTATTTTTTACCTTCCGCATTCAACGGTTCGTTTGAATTAACGGGCGTCTGGACCCGAAGAATAAACAATAAAATAAATATAACAAGAAATAGGTCATTTCTTGCATAACACAACAACGACCGAGCAAACCTTTTTTGTTTTATTGAACGATTCCATAACGTCTAACAAAAATGAGGCAGAAGCGGTCACATCGTTGAGTGCGTTGTTTTCCCACAGGTCTCTGCTCACGTCCGTCAGGGCCTTCTCTGATGTGGCCACTGACAGGTTAATATCGTTCAATTTTGTCTTCGCATCGTCCGCAGCTTTTTTCTTGCTCTGGCGCTCTGCCTCGAACGCTGGGTGGATGATAAAGAAGATGACCATCATCATGAAAATTACGTGAAATAAGCAAAAAATTGACAACTTTTCTTTGGAATATTCTATCTCCTTACCAACAAGTGTCAACTTTTTTCTAAAAAGTCCTATAACTCAAAACACATTCTTGGCTACGACATTTTAAACATTTACTGAACTTACTTTCCAATTTATTCAACGTTTCTTCAGATTTGGTGACAGTGTCTTTAATGGAGTGCTCTGTTTCGTTGGCGTCGTTGAATTTCAGTTCGATTTGCATTTTCAGGTCGTTGTACTCCTCTAAGTAGAGGCCCATCTGGTAGGTGGAGTCTGATACGTTGGCCCTCACTCTTTCTATTTCGTTTTTGTTCTCGCTCAGTTCTGCAGAGAGTTTGTCGACAAGTGATGTTTCTTCCTCTGCCTGCGTTCGGTGTTATTATTATTGTTTTGTATATATTTTAATAATATCGTTTTGCTTATTTTGAAATATTGTTGTTTGTTTATAATATTAATATTTTTATTGCTGGCTTTTTTGCTTGTAGTTTATTTTCATTTAAATTTGTGTGCGATATGTTGTTATTTAAATAATCGTTGTTTAATGCTTTTTGTTTCTAACATTACCAAAAAATACATTCATTACAATCACAGGACTACTGACAGTAACATCACCGACAACAACATTACCAGTTACATCAACAATAAATTTTTATTCCAACTTCTATATCTGCAACAGCTGAACTGAGCTCATCAACATTGATTTTTGGCATTTCTGTATCATACACCTCTTTCAAAAAGAAATGTGTGTCATTATGTATAATCGTTGACGCCGCCAAGATATCGGTTGAATTCTTTTGCACAATCTTCAACAGGTTTTTGCTGTGTTCAAATCTTGAAAGTAACGAAGGTAAAAATTTATTTTCTTCTATCATCTTTGTAAAGTAACGATCGAAATTTTTTAAATGGTTAAGTATCATCGTTAAAAGGGAATAACTAAAAATTATTTAAAATTAAAAAAAATTTAAATGATCACTGGATCCATCAATCGCGATTATTCATATAACACCATTGCACTCGATAGCAATTGTAACTGCTTGCAAACACGTAACATATATACACTTGAGAGCATCTCATACAAAAAAAATCCAAAATTGGCACTTTGTTTCCGTTAAAACATCTTGTTTAGGCTAAATTGTGATGAATAAGTAACAAAAATTTATAAATAAATCAAGTAAAATCAACAAATATATCAATCAATCAATCAACCAACCAATCAGCAAACTAATTCAGCACTCGATCAAAGCAACAAAATTAAATAAGGCCCATGTAAGACTAACACTGCATTTAAATTTTTCATCTGCTCGGTATGGTTGATTTGTTGCCTGGCCAGTTCAATTTCTATCTTGTGTATCTCATCTGTGACGTTGGAGAAGGAGGCCGAGCAGTTCTCCATCACTTCCTTCTGCTGCTTCAAACTGAACACGATATTTGAAAACGTTAGTACTTTTTTATAGCATGCAATTTTTTAGAGGTGTTATTCTGATAGTTATGGTAATGTAATCAATAAATCAATCAATCAACCAATCAACAAACCAATCAATCAATTGTTCAACTAATCAATCAATCAATAAATCACTCAATTAATTAATCAATCGATCGATTAACAAACCGTTCAATCAATCAGTAATACAGACAATCAACTATATAATTAATCATTCAATCAATAATTTGATTAATAATTTTATCAACCATTAAATCGAATTTCCAATCACGCAATCAATCAACCAATCAGTCACCTAATCAATTAACCAATCAACCAATCAATCAACCAATCAATCAACCAATCAGTCAACCAATCAACCAATCAATCAACCAATCAGTCAACCAATCAATCAACCAATCAATCAACCAATCAATCAACCAATCAATCAACCAATCAATCAATTAATCAGTCAACCAATCAGTCAACCAATCAATCAACCAATCAATCAATCAACTAATCCGTCTACCAATCAATCAACCAATCAATCAACCCATCAGTCAACCAATCAGTTATAAACATACAGAGTCACATGGCTCCTGGCGTCGGAAGCCAGGCTGGTGATCTCCTTGGACTGTCTGCCTGATGTTTCCTTCAACCTCTTGATTGTCTCCAACTCCTCGTCTCCTGATATTTTTTGTATCACAAGAGTAAAAAATTGTAAGATGTAAATTAATGGTCAAATATTAGTCAGTAATTTAAAAATTTTAATAGAGTATTCAATCAATGTTGGACAATCTTCAACAAACCAGTTCCTAACTACCAACCAATCATCATCAACAACCATTAACCAAATAAAAACAATCAACCAACCAATCAATCAATCAACAAACCTTCTTTCTTCAACTTTTTCCTCTGTTCATCAATGGATTCTTCAGCACTTTCTAGTAAGGATTCAGCGGTGTCCACTTCCTTTTTGGCGTTTTTGAGGGTGGAGTTGAGGTGGAATATTTTGTAGTCCACTCTATCCAACTTTGCTTTCAATTCCTTTATTGACTCGCATTCATTTTTCAATTTCAAAGTTATATCCAATTCTTCTGATGGTGGTTATGGTGATGATGAAAATGCAGATGATGATAATTGAGGTTATAATAAATGCAGATGATGATGATTGTGGTTATAATAATGCAGATGATGACATCGTAATAGTGATGTTGTTGATGATGTTCATCACATCATCCTCGTTCACCATCTTCAACTCACCACTGCTCTTGACCGATTCAAGTAACTTTTGAACTTTCTGTCTGACCTCGTCCTTTAACTTGGGGTCATCGTCGTCATCCAACGTCACCGTCGTCAAGTTGCCAGCCTGCAGCACGAGCCTCTGAATGTCATTCAAGTCAGTCTGAATGCCCTGGTAGACGTCTCGGACCTTACCATAACATACTGGACATTCTGTGGCAGAGTTTGTTATATGACTGGTGAGGATTGTTGCTCGAAAGTTTGAAATGTGAAATGATTGGCGTGTGTGTGTGCGTGTGTGTGCTTGCGTGCATGCATGTGTGTGTGTGGTGTGTGTGTGTGTGTGTGTGTGTGTGTGGTTTTGTTTCAGTCTTTGATTGATATCGCTTGTACAGCTCATGAAGTGTTTTTTTGTTATTTTGTAAAGTTTTTGAGTTTATTTGTTTTTTAAAAATATGAATGAAATGATTGTTAAATAATTTTTTAAACTCACAACACTAATTAAAGCAATAAATTATTTTTCATTCTTTAAAAACCACCTCATTACATAATCATCATCATCAACATCTTCCAAATTATCATCATCATCATCTTCCACCTTTTACATCTCATCATAATCGTCACCCCCTTTGTCATTGAATTAATTTCCTTATCAACTTCATTATCATCATCATCGTCAACAACATTATATCCAGTCCAACCACCACAACTAGTATCAACACCATCAACATTGTCATCATTATCATCATCATCATCGCCATCATCATCGCCATCATCATCGCCATCATCATCGCCATCATCATCATCATCATCCTGAAAAATAAAACATCGCGTGACTGACCGACACACCCAGCCTTCAAGTTGTATCTATTAATAGCACACTGATCGCATGCCCTGCCCTCGTAATTATGCCTGCACGGGCACAGCCCTGTATCGTTGTGGCACTCCAAACTGAACGATCCGTAGAAATCACACGAACATTCTGTTTGGGTCGTTAAAAGTTGAAGGTCGTTAAATGTTAGAGGTTACCGTTGAAATAACTCATAGGTGTCTACAAGAGAGCATTGTTGTCGTTAGGCCGGGATGTTTTTAGATTCGAGTGAGTGCAATGCCGGATGAACGCAGGATTAATTATTAACGATATGGTCATGAAAACATTAACAATAACATAAAAGGTATCAATGACAACAACATCACAAAAGAACAAAATAAATGTCATTCAATAAAGCATTGTAGTAACAACAACAACGAACGTTATTACCAATGCATATTAACATTAATTATTTTATTCAGTATAGACTCATAGGTTTATTAAATTCATTGTTTTAAAATTGACTTAGTTTTGAGAATGCACAGGAACGTTTCGTCTTCGCCTTTGTTTAACGTAATAATAATAATAATAATAATATTTAACTAGCAACAACCAGCATTAGTTTGGCAACGCGTTGATGAAATATGTGTAGTCATAAAATGGTTTGACAATTACAAAGTTACTCTAAAAATAGAATTATTTCAAATTATTTAGAATGCCAATGACTATTTATGCCAATCCGAATTATTAAAAGTAACGAACTTGAGCATCCACTATCACTGAATCCATAGTAGTAAGGCAGACATTGGTCACATTTAGCTCCACCAACACCGGGCTTGCAATGGCATTGGCCAGTTCGTACGTCACATGACGAGTTGAACGAGCCAATGAGATTGCAACTACAATCCTCACACCCTATTTTTTAAATTTTTGAATCGTTCATCAAGTAATTTGTAAATGTTTGAATGCTTTTTCTCTAATTTTTTAATTTGATATGAAATTATTCAAATATTTTAACCTGTTGAAAATGATACTAGATTAAATTGAAAAAATTGTAAAAAAAATTGAATGAATAAACAATTAAAGAATAATTTCCAAAAAAAACCGTATTGAAATTAAAAAAAACATGTCACAAAAATATAAATAAACCTTCTCCACTGGCAATGTTCCACGTGCCATCCAAGCACTGGTCACACCTCCTGCCGACCACATTATCACGACATCTGCACTGACCTGAGTCGCGCTCACAGGTCAGCAAGTTTGAAATGTAGCCGTTGTTTTCGATCTGGTTGTTCCTCTCAACTTCCAGTTCCTCCGGTAAGGTTCCGATGTGGTAGCAGTCGCAAGCTGTCGGGCGTCAGTTTCGCATGCCATTCATTTATTAGATTAACATTTAAAAATTTTATTTAAAACAAAAAACAGCGTCATAAATAGCTCGATAGAAACATAAGCGTTTTATTCCTTCTTCTTTTAAATTTAGTCTATCTGAGGGGCAAAAAAGGCAAAAACCACTTTAAATAATACGACACATTAGCTCAAGCCAATAACAAAATCAGCTAGCCTTCAAAACGTCAAACGAAGCGTGACACGAGACAAGACATGACCGCGTCACAAATGACACACAAACATGCGAACAACATTTTGCGAGAGGAAGCAACACAGACAGACCGTAACAAGCTCCATGCGGTTCATCGACAGCAGCTCCATAAAATCCTGGCAGGCAGTGCTGGCAGGCATCACCGGTCGTGTTGTACAGGCACTTCAAACACTTCCCTGTCTCGCTGCATGTCAAATTTTCATTATTATTATTATTATCATTTTTATAATTATTTTAATTATTATTAAATTATGACCAATTTATTAATTTTTAGCAGCTAATATGCGCAAATTTTTTAGCTTAAACCGACCTGTTGCTATCGTTTTTTAGGTTGTTACACAAATTTTGAGTATATAAAGATCAGTTTTTGAAAATCCGCTCATTGTTATAATCATATTGGTCATGGTCATTACACTGATGATGATGATGATGATGATGATGATGACGACGACGATGACGATGATGATGATGCTGATGATGATGGTGATGAGCAGCCAACTCACTAATGGCACTGAGCGACGTCGTTTGGATCTGCGTTGTTGTTGCACTGGCACTTCTTGCAGAGCAGTGGGGTCCCGCTGTTCCCATCATACTCTCCATGAGCGTAATATCCATCGTCACAAACATCGCATTGCAAACCTGGAAAAATAATTTACGAAAAAAATTATAAAATGAACAAAAATATGAGCAGAAAGCATAGAATCAATGGAAGACATGCGTACCTCCGTATCCATCCGCACAATCGAGGCAGACGACTTCTTGAGTGGCCTCCATGAAGATACATTTGTTACCATCGGGACAGCCACAGGGGGTGCAGTCATCAGCTGTTCCATTCATGGCGTTCCCATAGTACCCATCCATGCAGAGTTCGCAGTTGGTGCCAGTCGTGCTGTGCTCACACATGCACTGACCTACGTTTGTTAGGTGTTTGCTTTTCAAATTTTTTTTGTTTGTTGGTTCGTTTGTTTGTTTGTTCGTTTGCTTGTGCAAAATACAATGTGGATAAAAATTCCAGTCTGAGAAACTGACCTGATTCAGCCTCGCAGTGATCAGAATGCCCATTACATTGGCAGGGCACGCAGACACCAAAGGCACCAGAGTGGGGTACATGTCTTTTATAGCCGGGGGCACACGACTCGCAAAACTGACCAACGTAACCCTCTGGACACTTGCAGAACTCCACGGCTACCACGTTTGAACCTTCGTTCTGATGTCAGTTGTGATGGTTGGGATGGCAACGACGATGATGATGATGATGACCAAATTATGTTGAGAATGACGTCAAAATGACTGAAAAAGTGTGGTAAAGATGTTCATAATAACAGTTCGGAACAAATTAAAATTTTAGTTATTTTAATAATTTCTAAAAAAAACTCGACATACCTCAGTGTAAGATGAGCTTGATACTGTTTGTAAGACGACGTTACTCAAGAAGCCAGCTCCATCGTCGCTGTAGACCGCCTTGATCTTGATGGCAGTAACATTGAAGAGGACTCTAGCGAACTCCACATTACTCATACCGATGGGATGCCATTGGTAGTTTTGATGTTCTCCCAACACAAACTTGTAATGCTGCACGTACTCATTTGGAATGGGGTTGCCCTGGCTGTAGATGGGGGTCTGAAGGGTCACTC